GTTCATCTGATCTGCCACCACTTTCCAGATGCTGTCACGTTGCACATCTGTTGAACCAGATTTCTTCTTGTTCCTAACATATTTCCACATTCTTTCAGCATCTTCTACTGGCCACCTTCCATCCTGGATTCACTAAACCAAGGATGCTTCTTTGCTTTTCCAAACATTGCTGTGGCTTCCTCCTCTAGGAGCTCAGCATCAGCAGAGCTACCCTTCCAAGGGAAGGAATTTAAATTGCCTTGCAGTGGAGAAAGTATAATTAGGAACATTTGCCTTTGCAGACAAAGGAGCATCTGGTGCTTCCCAACAGGCCACATTTACACCTGGTGTAAATCATCTCTTTGTAAGTCTAGTAAATTACAGGGGAGGCTTAGGAATAAAAGGGATGCTCTTTCTGGGGTTCACTTTGTGAGCAGTAGAAGTTACTGTAGTCAAAGGTCTAGAACAGGAGAGTGTCTTGGCTTCTTAGGAAGGCTGTGATTGCCTGTAAACTAGGGAGACCTCTTTCACACGTGCAGAGAGACTGGCTGGTTGCAAACCAACTCTATGAAATAAGTAGGAAGCACCAAACACCAAACTATCATTTGTCTTCTTTGATTTCTGCAGCAGCCCAAGTAAACCATCCCACCTTTAGGGCTGGGTTCACACGACACCCTGAACTTCCAACCAGGTTTACTTCAGGCTCAGCAGGATGTGTGAATCCTGCCAACTGTGCTGGGTTCAATAAACTGTGGTCAAAGAATGGCTTGGCAAGTTGTGGATTCATTAATGGGCAGTTTTTGTGTGTGTATGGTGCCTGGAAACACACACACACACACACACACACACACACAAAATCTGAATCACTAAAGTCGATACCTGCTGTCCCCTCCGGGTTAAGGAGGCCTTGCCAAGGACATGAGTTGGGCTGTTTATTTGATATTTAAGATAAGCCAGCTTGGTTTTATTTGACAGGCTGGAAAAGGAAGAGGTGGATATATGATTTTGTGCTGTGGGGTGTGGTTTGTTGTTCTGGTCTTGGGCTTCCCTTTTGCACCCAAAGACCGAGGATTTTAACAGGGGAAACCGGGGATCTGGGATAGTATATAAGGCAGGGTTGAGCAACAATGTCAACTGTACAACCTGTGGACTTCAACTCCCAGAATTCCTGAGCCAGCATGGCTAGCTTAGGAATTTTGGGAGTTGGAAGTCCACGGGTCCTAAAGTTGACATAGTTCTCCACTCCTCAAATAAGGCTCCCTCTTCCCTGGGATCTCTTCCCAATCCCCCTCCCCAAGGCCCATCAAAAACAAGGGCTGTTTGCAATTAACCAGCTAAAGAGCTGGGGAAGGGATGATTCATTCACCCAGCCAGATTTACAGGCAACCAGTTTGACGACGACGACAACATACTTCAGCTGGAAATCCAGACGGCTGCCTGTTGCACAACCAGACAAGGCCATCTTGGAACCCTCGTCTGGAGTGTGAGAAGCCAGAAGCCATGCCTCGGAAAAAGATGGAGGGGACCACCGGGGTTGCGAGGCAAGGAAGCAGAAAGTGCAGTTTTTAAAGCTGGTTGTGTTTGTTTCCGTGTCTGTCTTTGGCCCTTCTCGTTCAATGATACAATCCACTTTGCTGGTGTTTGGGTGGGTGTGTATGTGTGTGTCAGGCAAAGGTGGAACGAGCAGTCAACACATCTGCACCCCTAAAATAGTGCATTTAAAAGGCAGAGAAGATGCCACAGATGTCAAAGCAAGCCTGCATTGTTCCAGATTTTCACACTATTGCAGCACTGGCAGATTGCCACCTGGCCTGGGTCTGCTTCCAGCTCCTGGTTAATAATAATAATGAAGTTGGAAGGGACCTTGGAGGTCATCTAGTCCAACCCCCTGCTCAGGCAGGAAACCCTATACCATTTCAGACAAATGGCTGTCCAGTCTCTTCTTAAAAACTTCCAGTGTTGGAGCATTCACCGCTTCTGGAGGCAGGTTGTTCCACTGGTTAATTGTCCTCACTGTCAGGAAGTTTCTCCTTAGTTCCAGGTTGCTTCTCTCCTTGATTAGTTTCCATCCTTTGCTTCTTGTCTTGCCTTTGGAGAATAGCTTGACTCCCTCTTCTTTGGGGCAGCCCCTGAGATATTGGAAGATTGCTCCCTCGTCCTTCTCTTCATTAAACTAGATATCCAGCAGCCGTTCCTTATATGTTTTAATCTCCAGTCCCCTAATCATCTTTGTTGCTCTTCTCTGCACTCTTTCTAGAGTCTCAGCATCTTTTTACATCGTGGTGACCAAATCTGGATGCAGTATTCCAAGTGTGGCCTTACCAAGGTTACCCAGGTTTGTCTTTTCTCCCTAGCCAACGTTTCTTACGACTATTTTTTTTTTCTTGAACCCACCTCCCACCCAGATGTGCAACTCTGGGTACAAAACAAGCCTCTTGCATGTGATTCAGCGCCATGCGGTTCTGTCAACAGTTAGGAGGATGTCAACACTGCACTGAAGTCACCGCGGAGGGCAACAAAAGGCCCAGAGTGTGTGTGTCATGAGGACAGTGACCTGCCGTGAAGGGCTGGTGCTGATAGCTTTTGACTGAGGATGAGATTGGGGAGAGGGTGTGGCGGGAGAAAACAGGGGTGCCACTGCTAGGAGCATATCAAGGCATCAAGAACCCCAGCTGAGACTCCTGGTACAAAGCAGAGAATCCAGCTGCAAATTTGCAGACCTCTTGTACTGGAATGAAGCCTCCCTGTCCCCAAGCAGTCTACCTCAGGGTAGCCATTTCTAGAGAGGAGCCCCAGGAGGTAAACAAGCTAGAAGGAAAGAGAACTACACTAGAGAGGATATTGGTGAGCAGCAGTTGTGCTTAATTGGGAAAAGAATCACAAATGATGATAGATGACCCCTGAATGCCACAAATGTTGTAAATCCAGACCTGTTACCAAACGCCTGAATTCTGACCGGTGGGTGAGGATGCTGCGATGGTTTTAAGTATGAGGACTGGCCATAAGTCACTTTTTCAGTGCAGTTGTAACTTTGAACGCCCACAGGTCTTAAAGTTCACAAGGTTGGACACCTCTGGACTAAAACTAGGGAACGCAGGTCTATTGTGCTTCACAAGTGGTGGCTGCAGGGATACAGTGGGAGATGGACCCTTACATAGGGGGCAAACTCTCGCCCAATGATACTGCGCCGAGGGGGCTTGCAGATCCAGTCTGTTTGGCTCTGTCTCGGTAGCTTCAGCTGCACGTGTCAAAGCGACTTTTGTTCCTCTGCAGCTGGGAGATGCTGGGTAACAATTGCCCGTCTGTGCTCCTCTGGTGTGGATGGCAAAGATTTCCTAGGGCCCGGGTGCCTGGCGTAAGCAGGGCAAAATGGGGAGAGGGGGCCAGCCTGAGAAAAGTAGTGGGCCTCCCGTTGAAAAGAACAGCTCCCCTCCATCACGTGTGGCCTTACTCCAAGGAGACCCACCTCAGCCCTAATAGCCAGACACCTTCAATTTGACACCTAATTTGGAGAGAGGTCACGTTGGCAGAAGACCAGGGACCAGGTGGGAAAGGCACCTGCATGAGTGAGTTGCCCTTTTTTTTTCAGATAGTCTGCCAGGAAGGGGTGAACGGAGGCAGTAAGCTGGCACTCTGTGAATTTAAGGACAGGCTACGCCTGCCCAGATTAAAATTTTAAACCGTTTTTTTTATGATTTCTGCCAGCACCATTGAAGAGACTGGGTTGTGAAATATTGGTATACTGTACTCTCACCAAACAGAGATAAGGATAAAAAGGACGTCTGTTTGGGGGCCAAAGGCATAAAAAAAGAGAAATAGTTATGTAAATAAACTTTCCTTGGTAAGTTAAATATAGCATTGGCTTCACTTTTCCTGCAGAATGAATTGTATTAGTCACAGGGGCAGGACACTCATCTGCTCCCCGTTCAGTTGTTTGGTTCGGCCACTGTGGGATGCCAGGTTTCCCCCTCCCCAAGAGTCTGGCACTATTGGAGAAAAAGCATTTGCTTTCCCTTACACATTTCACGTGTAAGTGAAGAGCTGGGTGTGGAAAGCCAAAATGCCCCCAAGTTTCTTCTCTCCTTGATCTGCACCAATATAGTTGCAGTTGCACTTGTGGCTCTTTCCAGCCTTTCGCTTGGCATCCTGCACCACCTTGTGGGTTAAGAGAAGAATGCAAAAATGCAACGGCTGGGCCGTTCAGTTCCAGATTTCAAGAAAGAGAAACTGCTTTGGTGCTCGTTGCAAAATCAGGAGGGCTAGGAAGTTTTTATTTGATATGGCAGAGAAATTACCGAAAGCGAAACTTCCCTGGCAGGCCAAGAGAAGGATTCAGAAAGACACTTTTCTAGATATATAAGGAAACTGGCTGAAGTTTTAAATCTTAAAAAGGGGAATATGATAAGCCAAGAGGATGACCCTGGAAAATGTTCTTCTAGTCAGATCTAGAAAGAGCCTTGTTATAAACCTTAAAGAGATCTATGCTTCTCCAAGAAAAAAAAAGAGAAATCAAGTCCTAGAAGAATATTTGATTGAATTAAAGAATGAGAACTGTTAGAAGTAAAAGGAAGGAGTATAAAGTTGGCTTACTTGATCAAGATTAAAAGAAAACATTTTTTGTATGATGTTTTGGAAACCCTTTACGGACTTTTTGCTGACTCCAGGATTGAAAACTTGTTTTACAGATTCATTTGTAAATGAGGGACAGGATATGGGATGAAGCGATATCTGTTTAACCTTACAGGAGGTAAAGAGTTATTAAATTTGTTTATACTTCTTGTGATGAAGGTTGGAAGTCACTTCCTTATATATATTTCTTTTCCTTTATCATACTCTTTTTTCCACTTTTCATTCTTTCTTTCCAGTCTCCTTTTCTCAGTTTGTATTATTTTTTACTGTTATAATTAAGGGTTATGGTTAATAATAAGAAACACATCTAAACCTTTCAAGGCATAAACAAGGCATAAACTAGCACTGCACAAAGTTTAAAGAAAAAAAAAAACACTGATCCAAACCCCGAACTCAATCAAGTGGTGCTTTCAGCTTTTATTTAGTTAAATGCAGCATTCTATACAAGAAAAAAAAAAATTCAAACCCTTGACAGGGAACTGTATTTCTTCCTAAATCAACCCGAATTAAAAGATTTCTCCCCATATACACTGTACGGAAAATAATCTCTCCCCCCCACCCCATTTACAGCGTGCCACTCAGTACAGTTATTTTATGTATCCCAAACTTCAGAACTGTACAATTTGTTTACAAATCACACTTTTTCCTATGAAAAATTACCGAAAAAAATATTGCCACTTATTTTATTTGTAACAAAACAATTAGATTTTTTTTATTTATTTAAAAAACACAAAAAGTCAGCCAGAACGTTATTTTAAAGTGTGTGCTTGGAAGGAAATGGGTGGTGCAAGGAGAGAAAACCCAGGTGCATTTTAAAGCAAATAAAAAGTCTTGCCTCCTGATGCAGATTCTTCAACACCCCTGGGAAAAGCTGAGCCAGCTCATCTGCTGGAAGAGAGACCCCACTTGTGCCAATTCCAGGTTTCAGAACAATTTGGGTCTGATTGATAGGCTAAGCAGGACCCTTTGCAGGGGAGGCCCCGCTTAAACCTCACACTAACAGCACTGAAACAAGGATTTCGGTTCTCCTTCGAAGGTCTTCCAATTCACACAATGGAGTGTTCCCTTAAACCATCAGCCTGCCTCTTACAACCAAGTCCACCAACAAAGGGGGGGGGGAGAACTGTAGGGACAGGAAAGAGCATTTGTAGAGACCCTCTCCTGTTCAACTCTCTGCATGCTGTTCCAAGAATATCAAGCCTTGGGGGACGCAGATGTTGGACACTCCAGTGTTGGTGGAGTTCCCGGAGAGATGCAACCAGCACTGAAACAGGTGCAAGAACCAGATAAGGCCACGGATCTATCACAGTCCCCCAGATGCTTGGAAAAGCAGCCTACACATTTTCTTTCCCTCCTGGCAGGAAAGGCTTCAGGGGGAGGCAGAAAGAAATAAAATAAAATCGAATAAAAATAAAGCAGCAGGCTAGCTAACAGGCTCCTTCTGCTTTTTCAGCAAAGGCTGGCACCAGCTGACCTTGCCCTGGCTGTGAGAAACTCTCCAGCCAAACACTAAAAACGGGACACAGGTGCAGCCAACCTTCCCACCAAGCAAGCCATTCCTAGCTGGAAGGAAAAACTCAGGAGAGATTTTGCTTTTGCTCAAGGTCCTGGGATTCCCTGCTGCACTAAGATACACAACGGCCACTTTTGTTAAAGCCCCCGTGGGAGGTTCAAAACATCGGAAGGCCGAACTGCCCGTCTTGGTTTAGTCAAAACTCCAAACTGGCCACTCTCTGCAAACAACAAAGCAGAAACAGCCAAACGTATTCCGAGATACCAAATCCTACACCGGCTATAAGCTGCTGATCGGGCTATTTCAGGACCTGCCAGCAATGTTAGGACAATGCTCTCAACCGCGGCCACTTGAGGTTGTGTGGACTTCAACTCCAAGAATTCCTCAGCCAGCCAGAATTTTGGGAGTTGAAGTCCACGCATCTTCATGCAACCGAGGTTGAGAAGCACCGTGAGGTGTTCTGCTTCGCACATGCAAAAGTCCTAAACTGGATAAGATTGGACACCCCTGACTTAATAGGGCCAAGAGCTGAGAATGGCTCCCCCAACAGCCTCCCTGCTTCCAAAATATCCATGCTTTGTAATACCTGACCATCTGGCTCTAAGGACCGAGGACAGGCTAAGGTTGACTTTCAGGCACTGGAAGCAACAGCCAAGATGAATACAATTCTTTGCTAAATATGGGCATGAAGGCAGGGAAGAGACGAACACCCCCAACCCCCCAACTCAATAGATCGTTCTCCTAGGCTCAATGCACAAAGGTCTCCGGAGCATCTTCTGCACAGCAGCCCCTCTTCTCTCCCAGGCTGGCATCGCAGCCCCCACATTGCCTGCCTGCCTCCCGTGCTGTTAGTATGAAGACTTCAGCAGAACCTGGGGTTTCTGGCCCAGCGCCCCCCACCTCCCTTACAGAGCCCTCCAGCAGCAGCCCTGAGGTGGGCCTGCTGAACCTCCTTCACAGAAAGAAAACAGACGAAACTCTTTAACAGCAGCAGCGCAGGAAAAGACAGGTGCTTGCTAGCCCAAGCAAGGAGGGGACAAGGGGGAAATGTTATGGCATCAAACAGGACACACAAAAACGGGGGAGGAGAGGCAGGCAGGGGGTGGGAGGGGTAGGGGAATAAACCCTGACACTAAAGTGCAACATGTCCTATACGCTTTGCCGTCCGGTGTCGTTGAGAGAAGCTGGCGAGGCCGGGACTTCCAGTTGCTGGAGGAAAGCCGCTTTTTCAACACCGCGGGAGAAAAGGAGAAAAGTTCTCCTCGCAAGAGTCAGCACTGGGAGCCCTTTGGTGCAAGACGGAGCAAGGGGGGCAAAAGAGAGGCATTGCCGTATCCGTGGCGGTGTCAAAAGGCTGCGTGGGGAGCCTTCGGAAGCAGCAGCAGCAGCAGCTTCGGAGCAGAGGGAATTCTGCCACCCTTCGGCGTACTCAAAACGCATCGCTTTTTGGCATCTTCAGAATCTGCTCCAGCCCAAAGCCTGATGGAACCACGGAGCTTTATTTATTTTCCTCTTTTAAAAAAAAGCTGCCTCTGCTATGAGGCATGGCCACTTGCCCTGAGAAAGCGGGCAGGCAGTACCACGTACATCCTAGTCAGCGTAGATGCTGAGGGAGAGAGGGAGGGAAGGAAGGAAAGAAGGAAAGAAGGAAGGAAGCCAGATTTGTTCCAGCTCTTTTTCAAGATAAAACAGGAAGAGAAGGGGCAATATAACCTTGAAGCTAAATGAGAAAAAAACTAAGAGAGGGTCAAGAGGAGAGGGAAAAGATCCAATTTCACAGCCTGAAGGCCAGTCTCATCACCTCTAAGACTGGGGAAAGAGGATGTGTGTGTGTGTGTGTGTGTACAAGGATTCCTCAATGCCGCCTCATTTTCACCTTCCGTGTTGGACTCCCCTCGTCGTCGTCCTCCTCCTCCTCCTCCTCCTCAAAGTCTTCTGTGTACTCGTAAGACTTTCTCCAATAGTTCTCAGAGCTGAAGTGACTCCGCCTCCGGTGTTTTGGCAAGAGAACCGAGCGCCGGTTCTCCTCTTTATCCATCTCTAAAATTCGAGGTCTGCGGGAAGAAAAGAGACCCGCGTCTCTGGACCGCTTGGCGAGGCAGAGATTCCCCCCGACCACCGTCTCACCCTCCCCCCAACGCCAGCCTGCCTCTTACCGGTGGGCTGCATCGGGGTCTGCTTTGCGATGGGACCTCTTTGGCTTCAGGATGGGGTCCCGATTGCTCCCCGACAGGCGGTCCGAAGCGTAGCCGGGGACCAGCACAGAGCTACTCAGCGATCGGGTCTCCAACCGGGGGGCGTCTACTCTGGTTCTGGAAGTATTAGACAGCGCAACAGCATCGGTTACCAGGTGCGACTCATCACACAAAACACCTCACACCACATGGTCTGTTCTGAGGGCCAAGTGCTCGGGGACAGGACACTCTCTGCCACTGTCCGAGCAGCCCTGAAGGATTTGGGAGGCTGAAGTACGCTGTGCACCAACCCTCCCATGGGCACCCCCTGTACGCCCACTGGATTTATCTCCTCCTGGGTTGCTAATCATTTCCGAGGGATGAAACCTCAGAAGCCACAAAAAGTGCAATCGTGGCCAATGGCCATAAACTGAGATGCCCCCTTGATCTTCCCGTACCAAGCCTAACATTCAAATAGGCTGCCAAGTCCAATCTGCCTCACAGGAAGAGGAGAGGGGAAAATTCTCACAATCCTTCACGGAAGCCACGAGAAGCGGGGGCTGCGCTGAAGCGTTTTTGGTCTGTGTTTACCCTATAAACTAAGCACATTTTTTGTTGCCGGTTGTTTCTTCTGCTGCGGATTCATCAACTGCTTTCCTGGCCTACAAGAAGATTCCCCCCCACCCCACCCCACCCCACCCCCTTCAGCTGCCCTGAAGTGTTTATAACCACACTGGTAATCAGGCAGCTTAAGGGAATTTCCACTCCAGCCAAACAAGCGCCAGACCCTCTCTTGGCAAAGGCCGGCTCTCCAGGACTGCGACGTGTGCAAAAATCTTGGCACGGCACTGCTGGATGAGTGCAGGGCCAGCGGCTGACCAGCAGAAGTTCCAGGGGGCAGGGAGAGTGTGATGGCACCGGAAGAGCTATGCTGGCAGCTGGAGGCTTCACGCGCACCACTCCAGAGGCTGGTGTGGAAGTTCTAAAGCAATAAAGGGCCGCCTCTCTCCCCAGGAACTTGTCCAGGTATTTGAGATCAACAAATGAGACCTTTTAGAAATTGACCTGGCTAGCAGAGGTCTGGCTACAGTGTGCAACGCAGGCAGTCCCCAACAGTTCATTTAGTGACCGTTTGAGGTTAAAATGGCGCCGAAAAAAGTGACTTATGACCATTTTTCACACAACTGTTGCAGAGTCCCAAGAGGGGTCACGTGACCCTCTGACAAACAAAGTCAAGGGGGAAACCAGATTCACTTAACCACCATGGTACTAATCAACTGCAGTGGTGCACTTAACAACTGTGAGAAGAAAGGTTATAAAATGGGGCAAAGATCACGTAACAGTTTCTCACTTGGCAACATAAATTTTGGGCCCGATTGTGGTTGTAAGTCAAGCTGTATTGGGAGCTCTCAGATCCTGGAATGCTCTTTGCAGGAAGAAGCCTTTAGCTGCCACTCTTCCATAAAAGGCTTTTTAGTTTCGGATACATCATATTAGTTTATATTCCAGGTTTTGTTCCACTGTTGTAACCTCAAGTGCTTACAGGAGCATAATGACAAGGTATAAACTTGCAAGGTATTTATTATTGTGCAAGCCTCAAAGCCTCCCTGCTCTTTTCTAGCAGCTTTCCCGATACAAATTGCCAGGGACACTAATCTCAAAGTTAACGAAAATAAGATGTCACCACTGCTTCCCTCTGGACTACCGCAGTAATTAATCTAGTTCCAGCCTGCAGAAGACTTAGATAGTCATAGATCCTGGGATAGCTGCATCTGACTGTCCACACTTTCACGGCGACAGCGTGATGCCCTAGTCGAACCACAAAGTTGAATTTAATTCGAGTTTTTCTTGTGTGTAAAACGGCTGAAGCATGAAAGTTTTTGAACTCAACTAAGACCCGCAAAACGGAGCCTCTGCCTTCTACTGGTGTGTACTAACTGGGAAATTCTGGCATTTGAAGTCCACACAGCTTAAAGTTGCCAAGACTGAGAAGCTCTGATCTAGCATGCTTCCAACCTCCCCAGTTGCAAGCTCTTAAAAAATAAGGCAAGACATCTGTGTGCGAAGAAGCTCCTTTCTTTGCCTCCCCAACCCCAATTTCTCATGGTTTGGTGATTCATCAGATGCTACTACAGAAAGGACCAAGAAGTCCCCCCATTAAATAAAGGCAACACCTCAAAAGCAGAAGGGCAGAGCGCATATGGACGAGTCAGCATCAACTGTACCAACTCAAAGGTGGCATCAGAAACCAGTAAAAGTGGCTTTTTTTTGTTTTTTAGACAAACAAGAAAATAGCTCTCTCTTCGAAGAGATTCTGCCACTCACTTCCGAAGGATGATCACGGCTCTCCTCTCCTTGATATCCTGTGGTCGAATGCAGTGTGTAATTTCGTCAGCTGCGTAGCCACTGTGTAAAATAAAAACACACCAAAAGGGATTTTAGAGCAAATGTGTTTACCTTGGGCATCTTCTCGGCCGGTTCAGGACCCCGGCTGCTCCCTGAAGGGTTGCTAAACACACTGCCTCTTTCAAACAATGACTGGGCAGGCCTTGCAGAAAAAGTTGTTGCCTGGGGCTCTGTAGCCCAAGGGTCTCCCCCATTGTCAATGCTACTTGGAGCGCTCCCTTGCTTCCCCCAAACCCTTACTCTAAGCCACAAATATCGGCCCACCGCCAGTGGGATCTCTTGCATGCTCCAAATCTCCAATCAAATTGCTTTAACTTTTCCTAGCCTCTGTCAATATCCTGTTATCCTAGTTTGGTCAAAGACTGTAATAAAGATATTTGATTTATATCCTGATACAAAAGGTCAGATAAACATCTATTCTGACAATGCGACAGAGGAGATGGAAGACCACAGAAGGCAACAGCTCCCACAGAAGTATTGGGACAGCAGTTCAAAAAACCAGGTTCCTTTGAAATGCCTTGGAAAGGCTGGATTTGCATCATAGTATCATCAAGACTCTGATGCACAAACCAAGACAGAAAAGTCTACCTTTGCTAGATACCAGTGCCAGATCTTTCTGTGAAAAAATAACAGTCAGTTTGACAAACTCAGGAATAGTTGGCTGTACACAGCTAGTGTAATCTAGTACCTGTGGTCGAAAAGCCAGGCTCTCAGCATTTCAAGGGGCTAAGACAGGTTATCTAACAAAAACTCACTGGTGTTCTTTAGCCAGCTACCAAAATCCTAAGGAAATGCACTAAGACAAAAGTTTTGCAGGACCAACACCAATCCTGAGAAAAAGTTTCAAGATGAAACTCCAATTCTTGCTTTGAAAGCTATCTGGTCAGCACTAACTGGCACTAACTGGTATGCTATGTCTGGCACACCTAAATGCAAGAAAATACCAAGGCTGGGTATCTCAGCATGTTTTTTAAGCAACACTAATGTGTAAAGTAAAAACAGATTTGAGGCAAAACAGGTGAGCACAAATTGGAAGACTGGGCCGAAAGAAGAAGACAGAAATGACAATATGGGGGGGGGGGTAATCTTCTCTTATAACCTGCTGCTACGGCTTGGGCGGCAAGACCCTCAAAGGGTCTCAGATTAACTCCTACAGAGAATGTTTTATTTGCAGCCTGGTAACTTCTCTGTGAGAGCCACTTGGAGTAGTGGTTAAGGCATCAGGCCAGAAATCAGGAAGACCTGAATTCTAGTCCTGCCTTGGGTATGAAGCAGCTGAATGACCCTGGGCTAGTCACTTCTCCCAGGTCTAGGGAGGAAATGCAAACCATTTCTGAAAAATCTTGCCAGGAAAACTGCAGGGACTTGTCCAGTCAGTTTCTGAGAACTGGATATGACTGAATGGAAAAAGAAAAAAAAAAAAAACCTTATAAAGCTGTAGTTAAGGCCAGTATGGTTAAGACTCTAGTTTTGTTACTAAGATCCACTGGAACCGTCATGGCTATTAATCCAACTTTGGCCTGCAGTGGAAACACATGTCAAATACATTGTCTTCCAGTATGAATGATCTCAGCTACTCTAACAGTGTCACTATATGGTGATGTTCTCAATAATTTCATCAGGTCCACTCAGCCTCCACAATCAAGCTTTGTCCAGAACCGGATAGAAACCGAACTGTTCCAATTTGTCCTTAATGCAAAAATTCTTGGCTACCTATTAAGAGAAAGAAAACATTCCAACTTGGTTGATCAGTTGCAAAGGCTCGGTGTCGTTGTGGAACCCCTGTCCTCTCCTACGGCAAGCCACACAAACGCAGGAACAAACTCGCAACTGTAAATATTAGAAAGCAGAGCTTAGAAGTCGCATGCCGAAGAACCAGGAGACGGGTTTGAAGAAGCTACGGTACTGAACACTAGAAACCGTGGGAACCCAATGGAAATCAACACTCCACTGGAAGTTATGTAAATACAGACGGCTTCTCGTAATTTCTGTCGAATACCATCTTGCCAGGAAGCCTCTCATTAAAACAGGATTAAGATCCTGCCCCTGCCTACCTAGCCTCCTCTCTACAGCTCCTCAAGGCAGCTGCTACTTCTTTGGCCGAAGGTTTAGATCTGGCTCGCTGGCTGAATTTGAAGACCCCTCTGGTAGCTTCAAGAAAGCCTGAAAGAAATGGGAGCGGTCCCCTTATTGAACCAGCAAAACTTCCAACCTTAAAGGCAGGAGGCCACCATGAGAATGATGCAGCTGCAGCGCACAGACTGAAGTAAATTCCTTGTTTAAAGGGCATTTAATGGATAGATGTCTGCCCCTTACCTTGGAAACCAGCCTGCCAGGAAATGAATGTCAAGGCACTGCACGGTGCCCTTGGCCCTATTGTAACCGTACAAGGTTTCTGCTCCTAGAAAAAAAAATCTACTGGTTGCCTTGGAAAACTGGCAGAGGAAACAAAGGTTATCTTGAATAGTCGGGCAGCCTCTCCATATAGGTGATTTTATAAATCTGCTCTCCAAAGGTCTCCCCGTTTGGTTAGAACCCATTTTTCTTCCAATTTGGGCAATCAGAAACACAGATGGGCTTTGAAACTGGCAAAAAGAAGCATCCATCTTCTCATAAATAAGGCCCAGCTTGACACAGGAAACAGATTAGAAGGGCCAGAGCTATGGGTTTCCCAGCCAAAATTAACCACAAAAAGATCCAAATACAGACACACCTGCCATCCCACAGAACAACTCCTAGATAGAATGAAAAAGCTGCGAAAATAATGCTTGCTCAGCTATCTGTATTTTGGGGGATATTCTCTGTGCCATGCAGATATAAACAGGTGAATTAGAAACTTCCTTCCAGAAAGTTCAATTACCAACTACAAATTGGCCAGCTAAACAAGAATACTTTTGCTACATGCTCAAATAAGCTATGTAGGTATTCCCAGCTATTACCCTGCCTAAAACTCCTTTGCTACAGTTAATTTTTCTATGCAGAGGCTTGGCCTCTTCTTGACAGCAGAAGGCTATTTTGTCTCCTGCAGGAACTTTAGTTAATATGTGCAAGACACGCTGGAAATAACACTTGGTTTTTGCTTCATTATTCATGCACCTGGGCTGTTGTGCAAGACCGTGCTTATGCTACGGAGAGATTTTCCTCCCAGACTGTGGAGATCAGCTTACCAAGGCAAGCAGGGGATCACCTTACCCCTCAAGGACCACTTCCAAGGGTGAGAAATTTTCACTCCTCAGACCCCCCAAATATTGGTTGCCCTCCATTTACCATGGCAACACAAAACCATTAGGGAGGCTTGACTCATCCTGGCAGAAAACTGATTCTGGCTTACAAGCCTATAAATACAGTTTGTCACGAGTTTGTCCTGACCCAGCATTTTGCACTCTTTCACACTTAGCGCTGGTGAAGAAGCAGCAGCATCTTCACGAGGCGCTAATTGTCAGAGACAATACTATTTCTTTATTATCCAGGATTGTCTTCCCTCCTCGGTTTTACAGAAACAGAAGTGGTGGGATGTACAGAAGAAAAAATAAGAGCCAATCCTTGCCAAGTTCCAGTTGCAGCTTTACAGCTTTAGCAGAAACTGCTCTGGATAGGACAGCTGAATGATCACACATTCCTCCAGAAAAAAAAGCAGCCGTGTTTTAGAGAACTAAGCGCTTCTGCAAAATCCACCTGATAGGAAAGGACAAGTCTCGGCCCTCCTTGATGAGCCTGGTAGGCAAGTCCCTCACCCTGCCCTTCCAACGGGTCAAAGTCAGAGGTTAACCGCTGACTCGGAACAGACCCTCAGGCCCAGCCTGCCAGCCTTCATTTGCTTCCAATTATGGCAGCCGTTGCCTTACTGTGCACTGCAGAGGTTGTGTTTTGTTTTTAAAAATGCTGCCGTAGGGAACTGATCACAGTCATGTCGTCCTCCAATTTGCATTCTGAATGCAAACAAGTCATTAGGCTTGGATTCAGCTGGATGGGGCACCCTGGTAGTCAAAACATTTCCGGCAGAGACGCGAATGCACACAACCCTTTGCAGAGGGTGTGTGAAACAGGGAAGAATGTCCCTTCTTCTACCTTGATTCCTGATGTCTACAGGATGATCTTCTGAGGTTTTCTCCCCACACTGCTCTTTCTTCTAACTATTCTTCCTCTGAACACACAGCTCTGCACTTATCTTAAAATGAACTACCTTCTACTGTTATGCCGCATATGCTGCTCATGCAAAGCCTCCTTCGGCTTCTACAGTTCTCTGCCTGCTCTCTGTGAAGTCGCTCCACACCAAGTCTGGAACTCAAACGTCCTGCCAATCTAAATGGCACACTTGGTTCATCTCGTCAACCAGGCTTTAGTCTTATCTTACACAAATCTGGGTCTGTGCTGTGAAACGACTTCTATGTGCCCAACAGCATACTAGTGAGAGGACTAAAAGTGATGCTTGTTCATCGCTACACAGTTGAGAACTAAGCCTCACTCAGAAGACTCTGAAAGTTCCCAGAAGACAGCTTGAAAACCAGCCTTTCAATAAACGAGAACCGCTTACATCAAGGCAGACTGAACCAACCAAGTCCTTTGTGGCTCATCAAGGAATCTCTACAGCCAATATGGCAGACAAACATTACACTTTCAGGCTGCCCCTCCCCCCACCGCAGAGAGGAAAAATGTCTCTTATAAAGATGAAAAGGATTTGGACAACCTCAAGTACTGCAAACACAGCAAACCGAGTCACCGGGCAAGGAGCCGAGACAGAGTCCAAGCTCAGGGGAGCCTGCTGGGCGGCCTTACCTGAGTACAGTGACACTCCCCCTTCGCACGGGCAGGAAGAAGACCGGCTCGGAGACCCTGATGGGTTTGAACTGGAACTTGCAGCCGAAGCAAAGTGCTGAGTCACTGAAGAAGGACACCGACACAATTGGCCTCTCGAAGATGTGGATGGGGTCCACATGGGAGACGATGCAGCCCCCCGGCTGGTAATCATTGATCACCGCACTGTTCACAAAGCCCTCGGGGATGACCCGGTGTTCCACCAGCTTACGGATGACAAGGTCATGAACCCACTCAGGAATGGTATCCACTTCCCCCCGTGGGTACAGTCGCTCCTGGCCAGGGCCTCGCCTTTGCAACTGAGACCCATAGGTATAGCCCTCCCCAAAGAAGTACTTATTCCGGAGTGGGGCCCTATCCACCGTGTGCTCTTTATAGAGGCCCTTCTCGGCCCGGGAGACCACATCATCAATGCGCGCTTCAATTTTGACACATTCCTCGGGGCTGAACAAGCGCAGCTGCCGGATGCCGCTTTTGACCTTCCGGGCCTCCTCTTCCTCTTCCTCCTCCCGTGAGGGTTCCTCGGAGTCGGTGGGCTCGGAGTCAGAGTCATGGTGCTTGCGCTTGCGTTCGGGAGCTCCCCCCCCAGCTCCATAGGGGGCTTCAGCAGGATCCCGCCTGCTCTTGCTTCTGCTGCTGCTCTTGTAGTTGTCCCGGTAAGGCATCATCGATTTGAGTTTCTCTCGTAGGTCCGTATATCCACTCCCAGCCATGGCCAGTCCCCTGGTCACCGCTGCCCTCTCAGCTAAATTCCCTGAGGTGCGGTTTGAAGGGCTGGTGAGTGGGATGGCCCGCTAACGTTCACGGCATGGTCTGGCGTTGCAGAACGATCCCTGGGAGAAAAGAAAGCCGAAGGCCTACAGCTTGGTTTCCACCCAATCGAGGGCCCTCCCAGATGGGAAGGATGCCCCCCACTTCCAAGAGTTTCCCCCAGAGTCGAGAGAAAGCTACGTGTTCAGTTCCAGCCCAAGCCCTGAAATGAGTCGGGTGCCGAGCCCAGCATTTCCACCTGCAGCCACCAATTTTATTTCCCCAATGTGTGCCAAGACCTCGGAGATCTCACCTGCAGGGAGAAAAAAGTTACACAAGACGCTCAGGATGCCCGAGAAAAAAGTCCTTGTGCGCCACTTTGTCCCACCTGGGAACCTCTCCCGCCAGCCTTTCCTCGGGCAAGGGGCAAAGGAGCCCCCCTTCGCCTCTAAGGTCCCACGTGGATGACAAACCTTAGGAAGCGCTGAGCGGAAGGGCAGGAGAAGGGGGAAGACCCCAGGCCTCTTCCCTTTCCTTACTGACCGAGGCAAGCCAAGCAGCCGGTCTTTCCCCCCCCCCGTAGGGACCCCCTTGTGCCGTTACCCCTTTCCAGTCGGGCACGGAGCGCGGCACCCCCGCCGGCCACGCGGATTCTCCGATGGGAAGGACGGGCAAAGTGACTCAGACGGCTCCTGCCGCCCCTCCCCCGCCCACCAAATGGGGGGCAGCTCCTCCTCTGCAGACCCCTCCACATCTGCCCCCCAGATTCTGCCTTCTGCTGCTCATCAGCCCGCCCAAAAGGGGAGGGGGCTGCTCCTGGTGGGGTCCCCAAGGCTTCCCCCCCTCCGCCTGTCACGTGGTCAGGAGGGATCGCGGGGGCGCCCTCCACCCCGAGGGCGGCTCAGGCCGCGACCCTCGGCAGGGCCACCGGGGCAGTTGCCCCCAGCAGGCCCCCCCCGGATGGGGGGAGGGCAGGAAGGGCGCCGAGGCCCTGCTCGGCCGGACTCACCGCGCTCTGACCGGCTCGCCCGCCCTCACCACGCGTCGCCCGAGTCCGTCCCCCGCCGCAGCGCCGGCCCGGCTGCCTTCATGGCAAACGAGGAGACGAGGCGGCCGCCGCTGTTGCTGCTCCGGCTGCCCGGACGGCGCGCTACGTCACCCGCGGCCGGCCCGACATTATAAATAACTTCAGGGCATCCTCCGCCTCCTCCTCCTTCTCCTCAGAGCGCAAGCCGCGCCTCCCGCGCAGGCGCAGCCGCCGGTGTGCGTCACTGCGCAGCCGTGGCCAAGTCCCGCCCCGGCCGCACTCCGAATGGAAGCGGGCTCCCGGCCGGGTGGGCTCTGCGCATGCGGCGCTCGTCACCAACGAGCGGCGGGGTAGAGCGGCACGCGGGATAGGTTCAGAATCGGAACGTTCCTTCGGGATACTCCGTTTGCCCCTCCCCCGTCTTTTTCTTCGGAAGAAAATGCAAATCAGAAAGGCATTTCCGGATGCTTGCAATGCGCCCCTCGGTGAACGTTCTGCAACGGGTATCTCTCTGCGGTGGCCTTAAATCAAATCAGTGAAAGAGCGGCTGGAGGGGCCTTGAAGGAGCCCCACTCCGCATGCTCAGCCGGGGAAGAGCGCAGGCGCACAAAGCACGCAGCCGCTCGTCAGGCAACGTGAAGGAGCCTGACGAAATCTTAATTTGGGAGACTCGCGTAACGGTGGAGGACGTAGCCATCTTGGCGCCGATTGGTTACGCTTTCCCTGCCAGGCAGAACTACCTGAAAAGACCGCTCGCTGATTGGCCAAAATGAAATCCGCGCGCGGGAACCGGCCAAAGTGACTGCCAGCGAAGAGGTTGGTGCCATTTTGCAAGCCTCCCATGATGCCTTGCGGAGGCGACTCTGGGCGTTATGGGAAATTCCTTTTCCAGATTCTTCCAAACAGGGATCCAGTCCCATCATCCCCAGCCAGCCCTTTGGAGCGTGCTTGCAGCCCCAAAAGGGCCTAGTTGGCAGTGCAGAGAGCAAAAGCTACTCAGGGTCCCCTCTAAAGAAGACGGGCAGCACATAAATACAATTTTAAAAAACCTGGCCTCTCTTGGCAGTGAGGGCCTCCTGGCTGTGCACACAGAAGCACCATTGAAGCAAGTTGAGAAGCACCATTGAAGGGGCAGCCAAAGTGCTGCCCATGCAAGCCCCGCTTGCAGTTCTGCAGACCAAAGACATCCATGGATGGGAGGCCATCAGGAAATCCCAACGGCACTGGGGACTGCAAAAAGCAGATGGAAATGGGAAACCCCATCCATACAGCTGAAGAGCATGACTTGTGAGTGTTCATGCTGTCATACTTTTGAACGATCGTTAAACAGGTGGTCGTAAGCTGAGGACAACTTGAGTCTCTCTTCACAACTTGATGTGCTATTTCCAAAGCCACTATTTTGTACAGCTGCCATATCTTACCTTAATATGAAACAATGTTATTTCTAAAGATGGATCAACAGCTTTTATTAACAAATAAATAAAGAGCTACAGTTTGGGGAGACATACCATGAAACACAAGAAGAATAATTTAAAAAAATCCTAAAAACTTTTTTATACATATATTTAGTCTGAATCACCATCATATTTTGCTCAGACATCTCTGTATAACATCTGGCCATCAGTTGTTGGAAACGGAATACTGAGCCAAGTAAATCTTTGCTACAGCAAAATAATTTCCTGCTTTGGCCATAAACACCAATTTAAACCCAAAGGAGAATGTGTTGTGTGGCTGACATTTTGCTGGCCAAGTAAATTGGTTAATATAGAATAGTCTGTATGAAACATCAGAAGATGCTTCTAGTCCAAATGAAAAATATACAAGATGCTGCCAGGAGTCATTTGGAATTGCCCCTAAGTTAGATGATCCCTGTTCCATACAGCATCCGAAGGGAGCTGGGAAAACCAGCAGCATCTATTACATCACACAAGCCAGCAGGATGAGATGCCCTGATGTCTCCTTGCTCACATCCATGCATTCCCACCCCTAAATCTGGAGATGACAAGGGGAACGTCATTGAAACCTACAGGATGAGCTGTTTACAGCTCGGCTATAAATTCCAGTTGCACCGGGATCTGTTCTGGAATCTGGAAGAGAGAGATGCAGAACAGCAGATCCAGTCACAACAAAGTAATCTCCCTCGGGGGCAGCGTGAGCTGCTTTTCACGTGCGTGCAATAGGCTCTCCATGTGGGTGGCAATGACACGACACAGTTCCAGGCCCTGAGGGGAGAAAGAGGACACAACAGAAGTCAGAACCTGCCTCTCAAGGGTTTATTCAGAGCTTTACAAGCTGCATAATCTGCCACGGTGGGTCAGCCTATTCAACTCGCTTAAGAGTTTCAGCACTTCTAATGCTGTCCCATGCTAAGCTCACGGATCCTAGATCAACACCCGCCTGTCCTACCCCTAGGATAAAACCTGGACAGCCATTTGTGGCAGATGTGGGGGGTCAGGACAGCAAAATAAACAGTTGAGACATCTGGAACACTTCAAAGGTTGCACCCCAACACCTTATCAGTATTATTATGAGGAAAACACCTACCATCTGAAGGTTAAGCTTCACAAAGCCAAGGGAAGGAGACAGAAAGAGACAGAAAGGAGGGAAATGAGTTAAGCTTACTTCACAGAGTTTCAACATATTTCCAACAAAGTCAGAATACATCTTTAACATATCATGGAGCCAATATTCTGAAAAAACCCTCCAGACCTGCTGTATTCTTAACAATCAGGAAGTCTAAATTAAAAAGAAAACAAGAATTCTGCCTGAAAAAATCAAATCAAATCAAATCTAGGGATCGATTTAAATAATGGTTTGCATCGTTCTCATCTTATTCTTTTATTTAGTTATATGGAATAAATAAATCTTCCTCATTTTACTTGTCATCAGACTTTTTTGTTTTGTTTTGTGCTTGGCTTAAAATCTGACAACTGCTTTGTCTGAGAAAGAGCACCCAAAATTTTCACTATGGGGCTGTGCACAAAAACCAGCTTAAGTCTTAAGAAAACCTCTCTAGTTTCCTCAACAATTTCCCTGAGAAGCAATTCTTTAACTTTTTTTAATTTGAATGACAGCCTCAAATCCATAAACCACCTCCTTGACCAGATCCTGCAGTGGAGAAATTGTGGGGCTGTCCTGGGACCTGCGTTTCCTCTGCTATACCTGTTTAAGCTGCAGCTGTGTGATCCTGTGAGACATCAAGTCTCCCAGCATAATCTCCACGTAGGGGTAGCTGGATCCGGCTGAAGGTCTCTGGGTGCGAGTAGAGTGGATCTCCTTCAGAGAGAATGTCACGATGGGTTCCTAGAACAGCAGAGGAGAAAACCTTTAGAAGACGAGCAAGTAAGTTAAACCACAAGGTCATTTCTGTCTCCGAAGACCCTCCCTGACCCCTGTGGCTAAGAACCAGAGAAGCCCAGGCCTCAAGCTGGTGTTTGACCCCACACATCCTGGATGCAGCCAATTGACATTCATGTCCATCTCGTTCATTTCTTGCATGAAGTCAAGAACGTTCTTGCAGAGGGTCTAACACAGTGATTCTCAACCTTTCTAATGCCGTGACCCCATAATACAGTTCCCCATGTTGTGGTGACCCCCAAGTGGGTGTGGCCACCAATAAGAGGGAGTAGGACAGCTAGGGAAAAGGGAAAAAATGGCGGACAGCATGGTTTGGTGACCCCCGTGAAATGGTCATTTGACCCCAAATGGGGTCCCGACCCACAGGTTGAGAACCACTGGTCTAACACAAAACAGCTTTTTGGATTCTCCAAATTCCTTCTACCCAGTTGATCCTGGAGGACTCTTCCTCTCTCTATTCTTTCTTCCTTTTTAGTACATGCACCGCGTGAATGTGACTTGGTGTGTGTGCTTGCAAATTCTAATGTAGTAATGATAATTTTGTTCCTGGTTTGTTTCAATGGGATCTTTGTTCTGATGCTGCAGAAGAGATCCCGTATATTTTGCAATGAAGAATCCATCATTTTTATTATCCTGTGGGATCAACTGTTGGCAAATCACTTGCAGGGTTTCCCCCAGGAGTGGCATGAAATCCAAGTTTCCTTTCCTTAGCAGAAAGCAAGCAAGTGATCTGAGCAGAAGAAATCCTCTTTTGAGAGATCAAAGGAACAAACACGCAACACCCACGTGAGTTTCCTTGTGGAGAAAATTCAGCCCATTCTGGTTCACGGCCAGGATACAGGGCGAAATGATGGTGTTGCTGCTGCAACTCTGGATGTAGAAGAACGAAGACCCAAACATGGGGAAGGCGCTCAGGAGCCCTGCAATGGATGGAGGCCAGCCATCAGTTCAAAGAAGGGGACCTGAAACAGGAGGTCACAGAGCTCCTTGTATACGAAGAACAAGAGCAGGACCCAAGAAGAAGGTGGTTGTGGAGAGCTCTTCCCTGCAAGCCTGGGGAATTCACAACTCAGTGATGTGAGGGTTACTCATTTAGAAGAAATTAAAACTGCTAAGAGGATTGCATCTCTTAAATCAGGAATGTCCAGTCTTGGCCACTCGAAGACTTGTGGACTTGATGGCTGGGAGTTGAAATCCACAAGACTTCAAGTGGCCAAGGTTGGTTATCCCTGCCTTAAATCAAGAATTTCTTCGTGAGTGAACATCATGCTTTTGATGTTCCTTGCAGAAGATAATTATTTCTTCCATAAGTCGCCTCCTGGAAGCCTCTGGTCACTGCTTTCCAAAACAATCACAAGAGTTGAGCGGGGTTCTTTCTCACCTGACCCTCATCCAACCCTACTTGTGCGTTTATTATGCAACTGCCAGAGGATCCAGGAGAACTCTTGAGACAAGAAACACGGGCTGAGTTACACAGCAAGCGTTTCTTTTGGCCAACCGGCATCCTTGAAGCTGAATCCCAGGAGCTTGGCTGCTCTGCCCTCCCTCCCTGGTCCTTTGGAAGGAAAAGGCCTTACCTAAGAATTGGGCCCGAGCCTGGTGGGCGCTCAGGGCTTGTGCTTGGTGCATGAAGGGGGCCACCATGTCCAGCCATGCCTGAGCCTTCTGCAGATGATAGAGCTGGGGTGGGATGTAATCCTGAACTTCCCTTCTTGGAGGAGAAGCAGAAGGACTAGGTGAGAGGTCACAGACAGCTGAGGAAACGGGCATGAGGACCTAAAGGGAAGTTCTCCACCAAGCAAAGGAGATAGAGGGCTACAGCCTCACACCCAGAAAGGGGTGACCATCCCACCCGGCTTCTGCCCACTCAGCCTTGACTCCCAGGAGTCAGCCCCCCTCTTGTCTGCGGCATTAGCCTTGTCCAAACACCACCATATTCCAAAGGCACCTACAAAATTGCCAGGCCCTTCACCCAGAGCTGCAAAGCCGCCAATTTGGAGATTTGCTGGAACTGTTGATCACTCAGTTTTGCAGAAGACAAGATGTTGAAGAGACCTTTCAGATAGTCAGGTAGCACCTGTGTGAGAGAGAGACACCAGTGACATCCTGACTGCCAGGAAGCAGCTCCAACTCAATCTGAGACCCGGTGAGTTCCATGGGGGTGACAAAAGGTGAAGCTTGACCCACTTGGAAGTGAGGCTGTGTTCTGCAATGCAAGCTGCTCAATGTCTTTTAAAATCTTTTGATGCCCTTTGGCTTTGCATTATTGTATGGTATTAGTAGGATGTTTTGGTATTTTACTGCATTTCAACGTGGGTAGTATAGTTTAACTAATGAAACCAGGTTAAGTTTAGAAAGGGTGCTCGTATCTTCCCAAAACAGCCAAATCTTGCATTTTTCCTCTCAACATTTCCGTAAAGGACTTCACCTGGTTGTAATGCATGGTGACGTAGAGTTCATTGTCGAATTTCAGAGGCTGAGCCCAAATCACACGCCGGTACCAGAACATGTAGCTGCTGTCCACATTCTCCATTTCCATGGTGACATCAAGGATGTACTCCCGCCGGTCCAAAGGTCGGACATTCTGATCTGGGATGTGGAAGTGGAGAGAGTCAGTTTCTGGAAGCAACTTACACAACTGGGTGGCCCAAAATAAGAAGCTCCCCTTTGCTGATGGATGGGCCAGCATCCATTCTGCAACTCCATACACAAGACCAAGAGAAAGGGAGCCGCATCCCTTGGCTTTAAATCATTGGGGTCCCCAGATGATAAGGTGGATTACACAAATGGGCAAAAATTCATCAATAATGCCGAGGAATGGACTCTGTGGCATCCAACCAAGAATGAGAATCTGGGCTCACCATCTGTTGGTTTTACACTGGTTTAACCATCACATTAACCATTTTTATCGATTTTCCTGGGAAATATACATAGATACGGATGGAGCATCTTTTTGGACGGAGAAGCATGCAACCCCCCTTCCTCCACCCACCCCACTCCCAGTATTAGGGGCATAAAAAAAACTTGCAAGTAATTATGAGATGCTGGATGGCTTTGTAGCATGGATGCAGCTGGACATCTGAATAATGCAGCCCACGGAAAGGAAGATGATTATTTCTGAGTGCCTGGATAAGGGAAATTATCTCCCTCCCAGCCTCATCAGCTCACTTTTATTAGAGACAGCAAAAATGATGTATTCTCTGAAGGCTTCAGGCTGGTGCAGACCCATTTCGAAGCATATCTCTTCTATGACGTCCTGGGCCACCTAAAAAAATGAATGGAGAAGAAGTTGCACCAAGGAGAACTGCAAAGGCTTAGCAACAGGTCAAGCTGTGGAAGGTGCAAATTTCGGAACTACGCCCAGCTTTTCTGCCAGACGAACGAATGTTCAGTCTATGTATTGGTAGAGGAGGCTGTAAGAAGAAATGTCGAAAAAAGAGAGGGAACAAATATTGTGAAACTAACTTTGTGGGAAAAGGTGGCGTAGGATCTGCCTTTCGGAAGAGTAACAGAGTGGACTCAGCCCATTTTGGTACTGAAAGCGCATTTTGAGCATAACAAGTTTTGAGTGGAACAGAGTTTACTTCCTGAAAAGATATGTATGATTTCCTGGAGTAAGCTCTGGAAACAAACTCATACAGACCAAGGGAAAAGATAGATGTTCTTCAAGATTTCACAGAATGAGAACATTGGGCTGACCAGTGCATTTTTGGCACCTGAGACCTTTGGAGTTTAGTTTATGAACATTCCGCCTTTATTTGCTGGTTCCATTAGATCAGCCGAGATCAGGGAAGGGAGGCTGTTCCTTGGCTCTCACCGAGCAAGTCTTGATTTTGAGGTGCCTTTCGATCCCTCCTGGAAGGAGAAATAGCTGACGCTTTGAACTTCTTCCAGCCTTTGGAAGAGGAGGAGAAGGAGAAGGAACAGCACGTTGGAAAGCAAAATTATTAGGGACATAAACAGGGAAAGTGGGTGCTGTGGAGGCACCTTACTTGCCCATCTCTTTCAGCCTACCGCAACGCCATCATCTCTCTCTAGGTGACCCCTTCCCAGTTGATGGGATTCCTTCCTTCCTTCCTTCCTTCCTTCCTTCCTTCCTTCCTTCCTTCCTTCCTTCCTTCCTTCCTTCCTTCCTTCCTTCCTTCCTTCCTTCCTTCCTCTCTGATCAAGGACTCACCACCAAGGCTTGGAGCTCCACAGCACTAGGAAACTCACAGCGACCCCCAAACTTGAAAGTTTTCAGCAAATTCTGCTCGCAGGCCTTGGCGATGCCTGTTGGAGGATGAGGAAGAGAAGCAGAGGTAAACACCCTGAAGAAGAGGTGGAACGTTCTTAATCGCCCATGGAGGAATCCCACTCTCAGGATTAAGTCTTCTCACTCCAAGCTAGGTGGACCTGTCTGTCCACATTTGCTATCCTCTGCTGAATTTAGATGGGGGCAAGCTACTGAGCCCTGAAAAGCAGGACCGGGTGGGTGGCAATCTTCCTGCTGAATTCATCTGCTAAACTTCTTCCTGGTTGAGACCTCCCAAGTTCCAGATTTTCTCCTATAGCAGCAACATTGCTCTCCAACCGAAAAGAGGTGCTGATGAGCTGAAATCATTGCCCAGCTGGAAGTCAGGCTAGGGATGATCCATCTTTGCCAATCATCTCTATCCCACTGGAGAGAGTTTAATGAAAAAATAACCCTGGGCAGCAATGTGACCCAACAGGCTTTCTTCCAGCAGTAGATGGATTCATTTCCACGTTTTAGCGATTGGAGAGCAAGTGTATTTGATTGATGAATTTTGGCTTAAGCCCTGTCAGTTTTCTTCTTCTAACAGCTAGATTTTTACACCTGCTTTGTCCTAGGAATTGAAGCATTTAATTCACTTTACATCCCCCAGGAGGGCAATGTTTTACGTGGACGAAAGAAGGAGAGACTTCCACTATTGTTAATGCAAATATGTTTCAGGTTTTTTTTTTAATAACCCCAAAGAGGGATTATTACAAATGATAAAACCAAACCCTACAGGACTCCTGTTTGATCCTTTGAAACTGAAGAGTGGAGAATTGGCTGTACAGAGGGCCAGGGGACAACATCCCCCCCCCCCGGATCTCCTCAATATATTCCCTATTATCAGTGGATAATAAATCAGTGGATATGGGTCTCAAGGTACAAATGTGAAGCCACACTGAAACCCCTAGCTTGCTGATCTGCCATCCCAATAGGGTCATCCACTTGTACTATACCCAAAATGGGTTAACAGAATAACAGAGTCTCAAGCAGGAAACCCTGTATCAAATGGTTGTCCAGTCTCTTCTTGAAAACTTCCAGTGTTGAAGCAACTACAACTTCTGGAGGCAAGGAGTTCCACTGGTTAATTATTCTAACAGTCAGGAAATTTCTCCTTAGTTCCAGCCTGCTTCTTTCCTTGATGAGTTTCCATCTGTTGCTTCTTGTCCGGCCTTCAGGCGCTTTGGAGAATAGCTTGACTTCCTCTTCTTTGGGACAGCCCCTCAAATATTGGAAGACTGCTATCATGTCACCCCTAGTCCTTCTTTTCATTAAACTAGACATACCCAATTCCAGCAACCGTTCTTCATATGTTTTAGCCTCCAGCCCCCATAATCATCATGCTCTTCTCTGCATGCCTTCTAAAGTCTCAACATCTTTTTTATATTGTGGTGACCAAAATTGGATGCCGTATTCCAAATGTGGTCCTACTAAGACCTTATATAGTGGTATTAACACTGCACGTGACCTGGATTCTATTAATGCAGCCTAGGACAGGTCCGAGTTGAAATAAGGTTGGATCACCTTGTGTGTCTTTTTGTGGAAAGTTCCAGAAGCTCACCTTGGAAATGCAAACCAGGGCGGGCAGAGACCTCCTGGAGGAACTGGAGAAGGTAGGGCTTGAAGACCTCGGAACATCTATAGTAGGCACTCAGGATGTACAGAAGCCGCCATCCTTTGAGGCAGCTATCCCTAGGTCAAAGGCGCCAATGTGAAAGTTCAGTTGGGTTTTGGGGAGGGTCTACTCAGAGCTGGAGGTAGGAGCAGGACTGACTCAGGCAGCGGTTCTCCTGGTCTCTCTTGGGACCGCAGAGCTAACACAAGGGCTCCCTGGCACCAGCCACTGGCTTGGAATATTAGGAGGCTGCATTTCTGCCTTCCATCAGAACGAAGAAGGGGTCTCCTTCCTCCCCCTGAGAAACCCCAACTGGGGAAGCTTTCCCCGAAACAGCTCTATCTCCCAACTCCTTTGTGCTGAGAAGTATTCTCCTCTGTCCCTTGACTGTCCAAGGACTAAAGGTGAGTTATATGAAGAAGGTATGTCCACACTTTACTATTATCTACTGCACTTGCTCCAGCATGGGATAAGTGCTACTCCAACTCCCATATTCCTGAGCCAGCAGGCCTGGCAGCTAGGAGAGTTGAAAAACAACTCATCTGGAGAACTCTAGGGAGGGGAACACTGGAGTACTGAAAGCTGAAGGGCATGAAAGAGTAAAGGATTGTCTTACGTCTTGCTGCTGATGTTGTCTGTGATCTGTTTGAGGATCTGGCAAAAAACTTCATCCCGGATGACCTCGTGGTCACCACAGAGCTGGAGAAGAAGCAGGAAGAGAGCATGGGAGGAAGGAATCTATTTTCTCTCCCTCCCTCCCTCCCTCTCTCTCTCTCCCTCTCCCCCTCCCCCTTTCCCTCTCTCTCATAATTGATCATCCACTGATTTTCCCAAAGACCTCACCTGGAAAGGCTTAACCAGCGAGAGTCCCCTCGCCTCCCTCCTCTACAGAAGGGATGGACTATCCTTGGTTGACACTGAGCTCCCTAACTCCCATTTTTGCAGGATCCCAAACTCCCCAAAACAGAAAACTACAAAAGTTTGCCAGCCAAATATCGGGATTCAGAAAACTGAAGATTTACAGCTAGACTTCACCTTTCAACTGCACCCCCTCAACTGAAAAAACCACACCTGGAGCATCCATCACCTGCTCCACAAGGTTTGATACAAGCCAACACTGGAAAACAGATTACCTTCAACAAGGCATAGACCACATCCAGCTCAGACTGTCCTTTGAGTGGAAGGTCACCCATGAACTTCATCACAGCTGGGGGGGAAACAAAAGAAACACACCCACACCCCTGTCAATTGGGAATTGTCTCTTCAACCACCCATGCCTTGGTTGGGTTCATATATCATCATAATCCAGTTTATTGTTTTGACTTGGCATGAGTGAACCAGCCCATTGTTGTCTGCCCATCCTGCTGCATGACTGGCATTATGGAGGAACATTAATGGAGATTGTGCAGCTTTACAATAGTTGCAGAATGAGCTCGTTTTCCTAATTTACACCAGAAATCCACTCAGCAGGAAAGCAGTAGTGGAGCGTTCGCTGACTTCTCCATGCCTGGATGGGAGAAGAGATGGGAGATTTTTCCAAGACTGCTGATTTCTGGAACAGTGCTGGAACCAGGTTTTTTTTTCCTCCAAAGCTTTGCAGATGAAAACAATAACCACAACCAAACAGAGCTTGAATCACTCCTTACTGTTTTGATGTGCAAGGCATTTGGATGAAAGCAACCGGTTCCAGGACTTGGATAGCTCATGCTGCTATCATAAGCCAATCAGTCTCGGCTGCCAAGCTTGTAGAACTGACTTTGGGCAGCTGGCAAGAGAAAAAGAAATGGTACACTTTTACAGAAACCCAACAGCCACAAAATTCTGGCCTCAAAGCTCTTCCCCTATCTTTTGTCAGTCTGAATTCATGGTGCAGGGTGCCGATGTCATCCTAGGAGGGGTGGGCATCTGGTTACAAGAGAGGGACTCACCCTGGAAGGATTCTGCTGCTATTTTGTTCAGGCTGCTGTTGGTGAATCCAATGAGTGACTCCTGGATGGGACACTGGAAAGCCAGGTAGGAAAAAAAAAAAAAGAGATGATCAGCTGAGTATGGGAATCACACTCGTTGGAGGAAGCCACACGTGCAAATAAGTGAATTTTCCCTGAAGGAAACCATCATGGTTACCTTGGTGTATTTCAGAATATCCACCACAGTCGTAGATTCGACACCCTTCTTTGGTTTCTGTTTCTCCCTGAAATCATAAAGTCAATAAAAAAAATAAAATAGGAATGCCGTGTGTGTTGGGAGTCAGAGAGGATTCCAACTGTAGAATGACCATCATCAAAGCTTTGACCCGAAATAAATAAAAATCCCTTTTCTCGTGCCCTGGTGAACACTTCAGATATTTGTTATATCAGTACGCTCCTGGGATCAAAACTGATTTCTGGTCCTCTCTATCTCTCACCTTGCCCGCTTCTCCTGCTTCTTTTCTTGACTTTCATCTGGGATCTCCCAGGGCCCCCCAAACAATATCAGAGGTTTCATAAATATGGGGTATTCCAAGATATAACGTGGGAGATGGTGGCCTCCTGGAATTGCTTCATTCTCTCCCCTTCAGCTGCTTCATTCATTCAGTTGCTATTTCTGCAACATATTTCCCTCTCTGCCATCACTCACGGCTTTGTCTTCTGCCCGTCTCGGAAATACTTCTTGGCGAATTCCAGCATGGTGAAGGGGCCTCCTTGGGGTCTGATCCCTGGAGGGCTCTTAAATTCTTCCCAGCTCTCCAAGTGTTCCTCGGCCACTGGGGAAACCTGTCGGGCAGGAGAGAGTGAAAGTGACCCCTAACGGTTTCTGGTGGAGCATCTCTGCCAATCTTCAAAGATGCAACCAATACATTGGCAGAGCACTGTTGTGGAAATGGGTTCTCTGGGCATGTTGGGTGAAATCCTCCACACTTATAATGGCTGCAGAGATGAGACCACTGGTCAAGTATGGATCCCCCTTTGACTCAATGAAAGAAATCCGTATTTTTTATCCCCAATCATGAGTTCCCCATTTTTTTCCCAAAGCTTTGCAGATAAAACCAGTAAAAACCAAAATCAGTCAGAGAGCTTGAATCATTCATTACTGTTTTGATGTGTCAGGCATTTGGATGAAAGCAACCGGCTCCAGGACTCGGATAGTCCTGTTCCAGGACATAAACCAACCGCATTCAACCAAGGAACAACAGGACCCATATGCCTGTTCCTGCCTCCTTCCTCTTGAATCCTGCCCCCTGCCACACAAGGACATCCACACCTCCACAATTGACTTGCCTCAACCTTCCTGTCCAGCTCCTGAGCCACAGCTGCTGATGCCACAGCCACGGCCACCGAGGCTGGACCAGCCACCTTTGCCTGCTTGTTGTGGGGGTCCTCCTTCTTCTCTGTGGGCAGCTGCGTGAAATCTGGGGCTGCCACTGGTTGGACGCAGCTGGAGGGGAAGAGTCCCGACTTCCCAAAGATGGCACCAAACTTCCAACCTATCCCGGGAATAAGAGATCCTCAGGACAGTCAAGAGCTCCTCCCTCTTGATGGTCTTTCAACCACTTTCCCCCAAGGGAGAAGTTTCAGAGAGGTCTGCCCAATTGATCCTGCCCCCGTTTCCTCAGTCTAGGACAGAGGTGTCCAACCTTAGGAACGTTAAGACCTGTGGACTTCAACTCCAGAATTCCTGGCTCAGGAATTCTGGGAATTGAAGTCCACAGGTCATAAAAGGGGCCATAGTTGCCATTCCTGCTCCAGGACATTGTTGATTAGGTCTACTTGGAACCTAGGAAGTTCTAAATATTTCCAACCAAGGACAGTTTGCTCAAGGGGAAAAAAAAATCCAAAACCAGCATGCAATTGAAAGGCAGAAGATGTTTGAAGAAGAATCTGGAAGAGAGCAGAGCAGAGTGTTGCATACCACACCAAAGGCACCCACCAAAATCCAGGGTGCCTTTTTTGACCTCTTCCAGGAGGATCACTTTCTTCCTCACCACGCAGCCATAATAGTGGTCTGTAGGTTGGAGAAGCACAGGGGCATCAGAAGTACCCCAAGAACGCTTCCATGCAGAATGGCCAACTCAGGCCCATCATAATCCAACTTCAATTTCAGTTTCAGTCCCACCCATTTTGTATTCATGGTGATGATGTTCAACTTTGCATTCCTTCTTTTTGCAAAAGTCATTTTTATTTCATTTTCTCTTATCATGAACACAGACAGACAGCGTTATAAAAGTTTAATCTGCTGTAAAGCATGTTTCCCTTCCTGGAGATCTCATTAATTCTCCCTCTTTCATCTCTATTTCCATTAAAATCTTTTGTATCTTCTCTTCTCTCCTGCCTTTCCAATTTACTATTTTGCTGCATAAATGCTCCTTTACTAATGGCTTCCCATGGCATCTGTATGTATGGGCTGTTATTAAGATTATTCCCCCCCAAAAATGTTTTCAATTTCTTCTTAAAGTCTTCTCTGATTGATTCCTTTTGCAGCAAAGTTTCATTTCCCCTCCATCTCCAGGGTCTCCTTTTATGCATTAGAGGAGAATTGCATTAATTCTTTATGCTCTGCCTTCACAGGCTCTCTTGAATTCATTTATTTAGCATCTCTTCCAAGCTGGAGGGTGTTCGGGTCAATAGCATATTGGAAAATCTGGAATGTCCTTTCATGGTCTGTTAGCTGACAAGATGGCTCGGCATGCCAACTCCTTTTTCACCCTGATGCTTCTGGAAAAGCATCACATTTGCAAATAGCAAGGCCAGGATGACGGCCAAATGTGAAGTTAAAAGGAGCAAAGAATGCTTGTTTGCTACTTGGGGAGATCCGGTTGTTACCCCAGGTTCATTTCAAGACTGTTTGACATTCAGAGATGGGCTAACTGTCCTTCAGAACCCCCTCCGGTATTCGTGCATTAGACACGGGCTTTGTTCATCAGGAGGCCCACATTTATAAACAATGTTCAAGAACGTCAGAAGAATTGGAGCATCTGGGCCGTGAATATCACTGCAAGGACAGGGTGGCATCTGAGGACACATGCCTCAAGTCTTGAATGGTGATTAATTCAACAAGCGCTTGCCTGCATCTGTTGGACACCTGTGCCTCTTTTGAGGGAAAAGGGGGGGTGGGCTCAACCCTGAGTGGTGGGGGTGGATTTTTGCAGCACTCAGCACGGGAATATTTGAGACGTGAATGAAACTGATCATCTTGGGAAACTGGCTAATCCTTCTGTCTGCAAAGATTAAACCAAAGCAATGCTTTCTCCACCACGCACATGAATCTGCAACATGATCGCACAGCCAGCCAGATGTTTAGACTGGATTTGGCATTTTGGTCCACCTACTGAGTCCTTCTCAAGAACCTGGGATAGACAAAAAAATGCTAACGCTGGTCTAAATATTATTATTGTTGTTATTGTTATTATTATCGTTCTGTTGCTGCTGCTGCATTACATTTTCGTTATTTTTTTTCTCCTGTTATGTTTCTCACCTGGTTCCAGACCCTCCAACGGTCGCAGGCAAATGATGTCTCCCTTGTGAAAACTCAGAAGGTTTTCAGCATTAGTGATGTGGTTCTTAATGGCAACCATATATTGTGAGTCCTAAATCAGAGAAAAAAGACCCACAAGTGTCCAGTTCAAAACACTGGACCAAGCAAAGCTGTCCAGCTGGCCATTCCTCCCTGCAAAGAAGGAAGGCCTCTGAATGCATTTGGGGCTGTGAGATATTGGCCTCCTCCTCTCCTTCCTTGCAGCTCCCTTCCCCAACCAAATTCTTCCCCTCCCCCCAAGGTCTTACCTTCTTGAGCTCCATGATGAAGTGGTCGATCAAGGCCTTTGCCTGGACAGCTTTGGGGGAGAAGAGGATGAGCTTCTCATGGACCAGGTTGAATTCCAGCATGTTCTTTGAGGGCATGGTGACAAACAGGAGCTCACTGTAACTGGGAGTGAGTAGGATGTGGAGAGGGCAAAGGGTTCTTTGGTTAGTTGCTCACTGCAGGGGGACTGTCTAGAAGACCTCCAAGGTCCCTTCCAACCATGTTATTATATTATTTCTCCCCTGGACAGGTGTGCCCTGGCCTTATTTACTTGTAGCCTCGCAGCACCCGGACCTGCTCTCCAGGGAGGTTGGTCCCTTTGACCAGTCGCAGGAGTTTAATCCCCGAGTCAGACACGGCCAAGATTTGCACCCCGGTGCCAACGCTGCCCTGCAGGGGAAGAGAGGGAAGTTGGCAAGGCTGGACCCAGCGCCCAAGGAAAGGAAAGCTGCCGCTTTAAGCAAACCAGAAGGAAAGCTTTCTGGAAGGAGTCTGGGTTCGCCCCACTGAAACGAGAGCTGCTTTTAAAATAGAATAACAATGAGAGATTTCAATAGAGGTAGCCCTTGAACTTAAGACCATTTGTTTAGTGACCGTTCAAAATTACTGTGCTGAAAGAGAAGCCCTCTTGACCGGTTTGACCACAGCCTGGTTTAAGTTCCTCTCAGGGTTGTGTGGACCAGGGGGAAACTTACCGTAGCAGGAAAAAGGCGGGAGAAGTACACCTCCCAATTCTCTCGGGCTACGCGTATAATTTCCTTCTTGACGCTTTCGTCAGCCACCGGACTGAAGGAGTCCAGCTTGTTTTCCACTGCAGGGAGAAACCACACCAGTGTTCTCGGAAGGTTTTTGTTTAGGAAAAAACTAGCACCCAACTCCAGTCTCATTCTGATTTCTTTTAAAAGTTTATGAGTTGAAAAGCTAAGATTTAAAGCTAAATGTTCAACCGGCAGGCACCATCAGTCTCCAAAAGGCCAAAAAAGACATGCAGAGTGACTTCTAAGGAGTTTCCTTTTTTTGTGCCTCACCTAGAGACAGAATCTGGCCAAACGAAAGCAAATTAGACGGATTACACCCCAGAGTTCTCAAGGAACTGGCAGATGTGATATCGGAGCCACTGAACTATATTTTTCAAAGATCCTGGAACACAGGGGAACTACCAGAGGACTGGAAAAGAGCTGATGTAGTTCCCATCCTCAAAAAAGGGAAAAAAATGGATCCAGGAAATTACAGACCTATCAGCCTGACCTCAATACCTGGGAAGATCCTGGAAAAGATAATCAAACAACGAATCAACGAACACCTAGAGGCAAACAAAGTCATTACTAAAAGCCAACATGGGTTTGTCAAAAATAGATCATGCCAGACAAATCTTATTGCATTCTTTGACCAAGTGACAAAATTAGTGGATCAGAGGAATGCTGTGGACATAATTTACTTGGACTTCAGTAAGGCATTTGATAAAGTAGATCACAACCTACTACTTGACAAGATAGAAAAATGTGGGGTAGACAGAACCACCACCAGATGGATCCGTAGCTGGCTGACCGGCCGTACTCAGCGAGTGGTCCTCAATGGAACTGCATCTATATGGAGGGAAGTGTGTAGTGGGGTGCCCCAGGGCTCTGTTCTGGGCCCAGTACTCTTCAACATCTTCATCAACGATTTGGATGAAGGGATAGATGGGGAACTCATCAAATTTGCAGACGACACCAAGCTGGCAGGAATAGCCAACACTCCAGAAGACAGGCTTCAGATACAGAAGGATCTGGACAGACTTGAACACTGGGCACTAACTAACAAAATGAAATTCAATGGTGAAAAAAGCAAGGTTCTACATTTAGGCAAGAAAAACCAAATGCACAAGTACAGCATAGGTGGCACCATGCTCAATAGTAGTAACTGTGAGAGGGACCTCGGAGTCCTAGTAGACAATCACCTAAATATGAGCCAGCAGTGTGCTGCAGCTGCCAAAAAGGCCAACACAGTGCTAGGCTGCATTAACAGAGGGATAGAATCAAGATCACGTGAAGTATTAATACCACTCTTCAATGCCTTGGTAAGGCCACACTTGGAATACTGCATCCAGTTTTGGTCACCACGATGTAAAAAAGATGTTGAGACTCTAGAAAGAGTACAGAGAAGAGCAACAAAGATGATTAGGGGACTGGAGGCTAAAACATATAAGGAACGGTTGCTAGAATTGGGTATGTCTAGTTTAACGAAGAGAAGGACAAGGGGGGACATGATAGCAGTATTCCAATATCTCAGGGGCTGCCATAAAGAAGAGGGAATTAAGCTATTTTCCAAAGCACCTGAAGGCAGGACAAGAAGCAACGGGTGGAAACATCAAGGAGAGAAGCAACCTAGAACTAAGGAGAAACTTCCTGACAGTGAGAACAATTAATCAGTGGAACAGCTTGCCTCCAGAAGCAGTAAATGCTCCAACACTGGAAGTTTTTAAGAAGAGACTGGACAGCCATTTGTCCGAAATGGTGTAGGGTTTCCTGCCCGAGCAGGGGGTTGGACTAGATGACCTCCAAGGTCCCTTCCAACTTTACTACTATTACTATTACTATATACCCTGGGACCATTGAGGAGGAGCTGTCTTCGCCCTTTTTCTCTCACACAAACTCTCTAAATTTGGCTTGGTCCTCTGGAATGCTGCCCCTCCATGCTGGGAATCCAGACTATATTCCACCACAACTATGCTTTTTTGCAGAGAGTAGAATTCCCCCCCCCCCCACAATGGCCAGCCTAGTATTTTTGGAAATAAGAACCCAGCAAGAAGGACAAGGAGAGCCACATTATTATTCTCTTTTGGCCACCGGTGCCCAGAAGTAGACTGCCCTTGAGCACAATGCCTTCACCGTGGCTCTGTTCAGTACTGCTGGCTGATAGAGACACTTAGAGACATCAGTAAGTGCAAGCCACTAGTAGCTTTGGGATGCTTTTCTAACCAATGTGGTAACATCTGAAGATCTTCCACCCTCCCTTCCTCTCAAAGGTGTTTACCAAAAAGAGTTTTCATGCGTAGCTTCTCCTCTTCGGTGAGACGAATGCAGGCATCCGACAGAGTATCGTTGAAGATCTGCAAAGTGACCCAGACAAGATGAGAAGAAGTCCTGGTTGAACCTCAGAAAGGCCTTCACAGCAAATATTTGATTTTAAGTGTAGAGAATATGAGCAGCTCCAGGCTGAACTGTTTCGCTGTTAGTGTTCTCTGAGCTTGATGGTTTTCCGCAGTTTTTATTATCAGTGCACAGAGAAGTAAAAAAATGCTGTCAGTCTTTCTTGGACTGTGGTTAACCCACATTGCCCCATGCCTTGAGGAACTCCCCTAGACCGGTAATGAAACATTTGCGGGAGCACCACTAGCAGAGGTCACTTACCTGCCGAAAAAGGAGATCTAGCAGAAGAGGGCTGCTGATAGTCTCCTTTGGATAAAAAACCTGCAAGGAAAGAGGAAGATTTTGGGACATTGTGATTTTGGGGGGGGGGCTACACCCAAAGGCTCTATCCAGCCCAGCATCTTGTTACAATTTATAGTAGCCAGGGCACATTCTTTAGAATATTTTTCTAAAATATTTGTCTGCCGCTCAAAGGTAAAGTGCTACAGAATATGGAGGCTTGATCTAGCTATCGACACCTGCTAGGCATTCGTAGACCTCTCTTCCTCTTCTCCTCTTCCTCTGGCATGATGAGTTTCAGTGTTAGAGATATGTTGGGCACTTTCTTTGACTGCCCTGAATTCCAGTATGAGAAGCAACCAACAGATGTTTCTTCTGCCTGTTTTATAAAGCTTGACCATGTTTCCTTTGTCCCCCAGCCCCAATCAGAAGAGGAAAACTGAGGGAGGGTCCCTAAAGACCTACCTCTTTCCTCAGATAGATCTTCCAGGAGACGTTGTGGTACCCATAAAACTCCTCACTGCCTCGACAGTGAAGTTTCGTATGGACCGTCTCATCCTCCGACATCAGCTCTCGCAAGATGGGAGCTGGATGGAAGAAAACTCAACTGTTCTTTCTCATCTTCCTAAAGGGGAAAAGGACCCAGGGGCAGGAAGGCACAGCCTGCCCTGGGAAAAGCAGTCGTAACCATCACAATAGCTGAAGTTCACGGTTCTAATCATCCTAGCTAGTGCGGGAGGGGAAACAAAACGGAGGCTGATGTGGTAGATGGAGATACTTCACCAAGCAAAAAGTTGGTTCTTGCAGGCCAGGAATCCAGCTGGCAAAGAGAAGTGGATAATTGCTCACCTGAAGAAGCATCAGGCACAGACTGAGCCACGGGAACGGGCTCAGCTACCTTGGCAGTAGCCACTGGTCTCACCATCGCGATGATCTCTCTTGGTGCTGGCTCTTGGGTAGCCTGCAACGAAGCCATTTCACACATTACCCAAAGAGGATCCAGCCTGCTCCTTTGCAGATGCTCAGCCTGGTTACCTGGTCACATGTTTACCTTGCCTTCTTAGAGAACCACCTGGTATCAGGGCCAGCCCTAGGTTTCAGGGCTCTTTGGCCAAGATGCTTTTCGACTGCCTCAATTTCCCCACCAGCAGAAGACCCTGGAGCAGTGCATGAGAAAGCCAATACTGCTGGGGGGGGGGCTCCAGGAAGTGGGTCTGCTAGGCCAGCCATCTGGCCCTACCTGAAGGGGCTGCACAGGTACCCTTGTGGGTGCCATCTGTCTCTTCAGGATCATCAAGGCTTCTTCGTGGGGATCCATTTTCTTCACAAAGGCCTTCCCCCCTTCCTTTCTGAAAAGACAGGCAGGGCAGATGGAAGTTTTCAAATCCAATCAATCACTCAATCAAAAATGCTGTGTTCTTCCCCAACAAAGCTTCCTCAAAGGAACTGATGATCTGGAAGCATTTCCTAACCATTGATGTTTAGAGATACACTGCCTCTAAACATGAAAGCTTTGCGTTATCAGGATGGAGCATAATCCCCTTTTTTTCCAAATAAAGTTTTTGGGGGGAAAAAGAGAGGAAAAGCCTATGGAGGATCAGATCTGACCTGGTGGGCTCTGAAACTCGCAAAGGTTGCTGGTATTGCTTGATGATGTTGCGAATGTTCTGCGTAGGCTCAGGGTTGTGTTCCGAATTCAGCTTGGAATGGCGGATAAGCCCACCAGCCTGAGACGTGGAACAAGACTCTACGCAAGGAGGAGGGAGGAAAACCGGAGCAAATTGATCCTTGGAACAAACAAGGCTTTATCCTCAAACCCAGATTAACAAACCACAATGGCTAGATGCCATAAAAGAGCCATGCTGTTGCAGTGATTAGAATGCAGTATTGCAGGCTGACTCTGCTCACTGCCAGGAGTTCGATCCTGACCGGCTCAAGGATGACTCAGCCTTCCATCCTTCCGAGGTGGGTAAAATGAGGGCCCAGATTGTTGGAGGCAACAGGCTGACTCTGTAAACTGCCCAGAGAGGGCTGCAAAACACTATGGAGTGGAATATAAATCTAAGTGCTATTGCTATTGCTAAAATACTGCAGACAAACAAGTCAAATACTTGATGGCTGGTCCACAAGTTCTTGTTCTTACATCTCACAAAAGTTGACCTACAATTTCTCAACCCCTTTGAGCCTGATGAGTCTGTACAACCTCTGGATGCAGGTGTGGTTAAGCAGGTTTCTGTGCCATGCGAATGGCAGGTCTGCCGCTGATGAGTGTCAATTTTCAAATTAAGCAGACAATGTTTATATACCTATCAAATGTGTATAACCTCTCATCTCACAAAAACTTACTCCGGGCAGCGTACAACAATTGAATAAAACAGCAAATATAAGAACTGCAGATATAAAAATATAAAAATCCACATAAATGTGATAAAACACTAGGCAAAGGGAGGATAAGAATTTAAATGATTTCTAAAACGTTTATTCTGCAGCTGGCAGCATAAGTCCTCTCCGGCTTCCTTACCTGGATTCTGAAAGGTGGTTTTCCTCCATGCAGTGCCTGAAGGTAACGCAGACCTGTCTATCAGCCTCTTCCCAGCTTCCCCCTGTCAAAGGGAGGGGGAGGGGAGGATTCATTGGCAAACTGGGAATCCTGCTCCTCTTGGGCTTTGTGGTCCTGCTGCAGGGATCTTGGTCTGTCTTATCCAGCCCAGGACCCCTCCCCAAAATTCTGCTACCCCTCTGCCTACCATTACCCGCTTGCCTTGGACTGGTCTGGGGGAGCCAAAGAGGACCCCTCTGGCAGGCTGTTCCCCTTCTACCCCCCCCCCAGACCTGGGCCATCGCTCCAGGGCAGATCGCTGGAGTGAAAGCCTATCCTTGCCCGGAGAACACGCAGCAGGGAAAGATCCAGGGTTCTGGCAGTTGCGGATGCCAGCCTGCAAGTGAAATGGATACAGGTGCTGCTTGGGAGGGGAGTATCCAGTGTCAGCCAGCCTTGGGTCAGCTGAGAAGGGTATAAAGGCATCGGAAAGGGGAGGGGATCGGCAGATGCCCAAATGCCACTCTAAAGCAGCTCCTGGCTTCCTTGCCATTGGCCAAGTTGGCACAGGTGGTTGGCAAGTCTGTTGGGCTTCACTTTGTTCCCCCCACTCCCCTAGTACACCTGTGAAAATAAAAACCCAAGAAAGTCCAGTTGCCTTTTGGCAAAGCAACTTTGGGACAACCGTGAGCTGGGTGAGGGAGAATCTCCATGGACTTCTTTTCAGCAATTCACATGTCCCTCTTATCCAGCACTTCCGCAAAGTACTTTCAGTTCAACTGGACAGTTCCTGCCTTTACTAACCAGAACTGACTCTTGGTGCTTGTCGTAAGCCAGCTGTGTCAACACAGCCTCCTCCTCCTTTCCTGTGGAGAGGAAAGATGAAAACAGCCCGTTGAGCTAGCCAAAGAATGCTAGATGCTTGCAAAAACAGAGAACGCCTTCCTAGCATTCAGAAATTGGTGGCTTTACTCCTGAGCGTCCATAAGATGCAGGCTGGGGTGGCCTCTGGGCTTTGAAATTTTCTTCGTCATTGGCAGGCTTTGCACAAACCGTTTCTCTTCTAAACAGAAGATTGCAGACAAAGCTTTTTTTTTTTTTCAACAAATATGTACACTAAGGTAGCCCAGCTCGTACTGACCAGAGGTCTGAGGGACCACAGCACCATTGCCTTCTCCAACGTGGCCACCGCCTTTCATCCTTCGTGAGATGGCGGCTGGCTTCTCTAGTTCCTGAGTGGGTAGAAATCAAAGCAGTTCTATAGTCACATTTTCCCCTTCAGGGCCCCCAAGGCCAGAACCCACAGGGGCTGAAACAAATGCTTTGAGCTGAGCTCTTTCATACGTTCTTAACGTATCTGATCACCCTTCAATATGTTGGCAATGCACATCTGGAATTTCTAGCTCTTGGAAAAACAAATTTATGTGAGAAATAGAAGATACTCTGGGGTGGCCTTTTTTGAATCTAGGGGGTGTGGGAGAGAGGGACGCTAGTCTTACCCCTTTTCCATAGGACAGCACAGGATCAAAGAGGCTATCCAGATAGTGATCCAGTCCTTTTTGGCTCCTGGGTTCACTGCAGGTATCTGAATCTGTTTCCAGGTTGTTGTTTTTTAAAAGAAATATAAATAAGATCAATTGCAAAGAGAAAATGACATTTTCGCCATTTGGATTGCTGGTAGAGAAACATTTTTCAAAAGACACATTTCCCATGTCAGCAGCCTAATGGATGATACATGGCACAAAACAGCCCTTAATTGTTTAGTGTGAATGCAGCCAATGGGGCAGAGAGAAATGAGGTCCTTGGTGCTCTATGAGCTTCGTCTTTTTCTTGCAGACTTTTTTCTTTCAACCCTGAGCTACAAATATACTCCTCCAGTGAGAAAAATACATCTTCTAATCCAATGTTTTCCAACCTTACCTCTTTAAGATGGGTGGACTTCCAGAATTCTGGGAGTCAAAGTCCACCCATCTTAAAAGGCCAAGGTCAAAAAACACTGCTCTAACACAGTTTAATCTTGCAAAGATGGATCCCATGCTCTGACACAAACCCAGATTCTCACCATGGCTGCAATATCCCTCAGAGTCTGGCAGCGGGGCAGAGGCCATAGTGGGAGCCTTCATCAATGGCGGAGGAGGAACTCTCCCATCTGAATCCAAACCACGTTGGAAACCCCTACGAAGCAGAAGGAGGAGAACAGCAGAAGGAAAGTCAAACTTGACCTAGGGATGGTCCAGAACTGGTCTAGATCCATGATATCTAAGCAGAACCTCTTTCATAGTCTAGGGAAGAATCATTCCATCCCATCCAGGGTCAAGACCACAAAAGACAGAAGATTCTACAACCACCTCAATTCCAAGACTTGGGTCTCCCATTGTTGGGGGTAACACCACCCCATGCTGGTTGTTTTCTTCTTCCTTGGTAAGCCCCCTGAACCAATGAAAGCTCTTGAACACTACCCCTTCCAAGGAAGAGCCATGATGCAACCTACAATTTGCCACCAGTGTATTTCTCTGGGTCTTCAGAAGCAAGGATGAAATAGGACTTCTGCTTGGGGAAACCTCGGATCAGTTCCAAATCAGAAATCAGATCCAAAACATAGTCGTGGCCAGCCAGCTCGGCCCACTGGGTACCATCCTTCATGGTGACGGACCAGCCTCGCCATCCCTCTGGAAGACCCCTGTGAAGGAGCATTGGGGCTTAGCCACTGTGTGTTCTGCTGGGAGGAGAGGAATCCAACATGGGGAAGCTGGATTCTCTGCTTGGGGCTGAAGGTGGATGAGACAAGATCTCCAAAGAGCTCCTCAAGAGCTCCTTGCCTCTGACTTTTAGTGCTTGGAGAGCTGGAAAAGGCCATTGAAATGGAGCCCACCCTCTCTTCCTCCACCCCACTACCCATATCCCCCACGTCCCGTCTCTTCTACCTGTATTTCAATACACTTTCAGCAAGGCCTTCCCCTGTGGTCCAGGAATGGACAGGGCAAGAATAATGGTCTCCTGTTGAAACAAAACTCAAGTCATTCACTCTGATAGATGCTCCTCCTGCTGCCTTATTTTGTCAGCCTTTCCACACAGAAGAAACAGGAAACCCAAATGAGCTAATTCTTCTTTCTTGGAAGACTACATTAACAGAATCTTGCAAGTCTGAAAGTACAAATCTCTCACCATCTCTCTTACAGCCTGAGAACTTTGGTTCAGTTCTGAGTCTTCTTCTCTACATGTCAGCTGTGGTTTATGTCCTCTGTCATCTGATCATTCCCTAGGCAGCCTCTCTTTCCCCGTCTCCCAAGGTTTTCCCCACATGCCTACACTTAGGGATCTGAATTCAGTTTCCCAGCCATTCAGCTTTGGGTCTTCCCTCTTCCTGCAGTGGATGTTTTTCTAGTAAACTCCCCGCCCTAGAGAAAGACACTTCTCACCCGCCTGTTGGTTCCCAACCCATTCTGCTGTCTCCCTTAACTCACCATTGAAACAGTACACATCAAGGGCCATGTTCACTCGGTCCCGGCTGGCTGTCCACTCCAGTAGGGTGGGTGGATATGCTCGGGCGGCCTCCTCACCATCCTGGCCCCTTGCCATTGCTTGCATGAGCTTGTGTTGGCAGACAGGTTGATACCCATCCAAGGCATAGTCTGAAACAAACCTGGGTGGATGGGGAGAAGTGCAGAGGGAGATAGTGAATAAAAGAAGATGCCAGCCATGCAGCATACCTGACAGTCATGCTCAGAATAGATGCATGAGTGAGGGTCAACCGAGCTGTGTTCCTATCTCTCCTGGCCATGAACATCAGGCCAGCTGGTGGGGCCTCCTTTTAAATTCTTCTTGTGGCTTTAGGAAGAAGATGAAGAAGAGGGCCACCCTCACCCAGTGCTACTGCCCTCTCCTATGGTCACCATCATCACCAGCCAATGCAGTTGTCCTCTTTGGGTTTCCTTTGGAGGTAGACCTGACCCCACTCACTTCAGCAGGTACTTAGCCAGCTGGGGGGAGGGCACGAAGGCGCTGACACACGAGGCCAACAGCAGCCACCCCCGTTCTTCATTGTGGACATTGGTGTTCAGCCACACTTGGTTGGTAATCTGGGCCAGGATCTCATCTTGCAGGCTTGGCATAGAGAGCCCCTTCTGTACAATATAGTTCCCAAACAGGTTCTCCTGGATGCTCTTGAGCTGGGCATCGCCCATAAAGCGGAGGATCTACCACAGAGAAAATCCAGTGACCAAAAATGCACACTGCCACTAACACTATGTTGATGGCCACCATTTGACCAGGCTGGAGGGAGCAATCCACTTTTCACCTACCAGTTTGAAGAGGTTAAGAGCTTCAGGGGCCAAACTCTCATCTAACTGAGTCAGGGGGGATGATAGAGTCCTCGTGAGCATCCCAAAAAATGGCTCCTGTGGAATGACAGAGAAGTGACCGAAAGACTCGTTTGCATACCCATGACAGAGACGGTGGTGGAGGCCCTACCCAGAGCGAGAAAGACAAAAGTTTCAAAAGTCACACAACCCCTTAAGTGTGGTTTAGCTTCAGTTCAGCTTAGAGTTTCTTTATGGATCATCCATCAAATCAGTCCAGTGTTTTTCTTGAGGCATAAACAACCAATCTCAAATTATCCCATTTTGGATGCCTTATGGCAACACCCGGTTCTCTCTAGATGGCCTAATTCTGGGAAAAGTAGAAGGAAAGAGAAGAAGACAACCAGCAGCAAGAATGGGGTCAATTACAGTGGTGATGGGGGCATTGTTGCAAGACCGGAAGGATTAGGTTGGGGAGAGACCGTCTTGGAGAAGGTCTATATGTGGTCAGTAAGAGTTGACACTGAAATGGGGCATATAAACTATTAATCAACCAATCAATCAAGAATTCTTGTAGATACTGAGGCATCATCCCAGTTGTTAAATAAAGTGAGTTGCGTAAGGAAGTACAAATCAACTCAATGCAAATGGTTTAATGTATCATTTTTGAGTCAACTTTTGATTTCCTAAAGGATATGTACAAAGTAAACCATGGTGGCTTGCTATTAGCCATGTTTTAAATCCAATGCATGGCTAAATGCAGCATGTAAACTCAACCACAAAGGTGAGCTTTCGGTCTACCTTCCAACAGCGGCGTGAGTGAAGCACCCTTTATACACCATTAAGCCCAGCATTGTCACCCTTACCTTGAAGTAGAGCTGCACGTACTTGGCCATGGGGTAATTGTTGATGTCAAGAGGCAGGGTGAGCTGGAAGTTGGCCTGCATCTTGGGTGGGGGGACAGGGATGACACAGTCCTCATTCACTTGCTTGTGATCTACGAGGAATAGGAACAAGGCAGCCAGTGTAGAAGGCAAAGGAGGGGTTCTCCATCCTAACCCCTTAACTTCACCAATGAGAATGCAAGAAAATATTGGCTGGACCATGTCAACTGGACAATAGGTTCTCTCTAATGCCAGAGGTAGTCTCCCTTTTTTGGGACCCAGAATGCAAGTGGGAGACCCATCCAGGCACTTTCTTTTTGTGTGTTTTTTTTGAAGCAGTGCTTGTAATGTACCCGTCCAGAGCTAAACAACTGGCACCAATAGGCCAACAGGTCTACAGCTATAAGCAAACAATTCAGCGTCTGGTGCCTTCTGACAGCTAAGATGTTGTGGTTTGCTCAACTTGCCACCAGTGGTACGGAGGAGGAATTAACTTCCTTACTGGAAATGTTATAGTGGGACCTCAACGATCTGGCCTCTAAAATCCTCGGAGATATTCATGCAGGCACCCTCTTGAAATTCCCTTGGTTCATAGTGGATCATGACCTACCAGCCACTGTGTTTAAGAGTCCGACCAGATCAGCAGGGATTTCCAAGTCTGCCACTTTCATCACTTCTCGCTGACTCAGTTCCTAGTGGAACCCAGAGAAATGAGTCACCTCTAATTATCCCAATGATTGTCTCCCTTCTAGTGCATTAAGCAAAATTGCCCCAGTTGCATATGCAAGTTACCAAAGTAATTTTTTTTGCAGTGCAAGTTCTCCTCAAAAGAATTAAAACCGTGTGGATTTGCCTTGGAAATGTCTGCGTGCTGTGCAAAGTCTTCAGATTGACCCCCTCGCCCCCAAGCCACCCCAAAACACTTGAGAATTACCTGCTCAGCCTTTCTCTTCTCCTGTTCTGCAATTCGACGCTCCTCATCCTTCCTCTGAAAGCAGATCGAGATTTCAAGGTCAGAGAAGCACTGCACCTCATGAATAGAATTCCATCTCAAAGAAGATTAGGATACTTTGATTCAGTCCTGAAGCAGAAAGTCCACATACTGAGACAAAAGACAAAATGCAAAATGTTCAAAGACTCCTTCGAACTGAGGTTGGGACCCTAAGTGTGTTTTGGATCTCTGCTTGCCCAAAACCAATTTCTAAGATCTCCAGGTACAGCTCAATGGTCCATGCATCAAACAGGAACACCGGCTTGGACGCTTGACTGTTCAGAAGCAATCGAATATGTTATTCCAGAGCATCTGGGTGCAAGAATAGAGCAAATACTTTTCTTGGAGAAGGCCCCAACTTGGGGTAATTGATAATGTGGGAACTGTAGTCCACCCTGCAGAGTAGACCCTCCAAATGACCTGGGCAATTTATTACGCAATGCCTAACACAAAATCCCTCTCTCCCAAATCCTCTTCCCGCATCCCGATTTGCACTCAGAGCCCCCAGAGACGCACCTTGAGATACCTCCTGCGGTTCAGGTAGATGTGTACCAGGCACCTGAATTTGATGAGCGTCTGACGCAGCCTCCCATATTTTTGCCTGCAGGATGGGAAACCCCCGGGATGGAGGTGGGAAAGATCACCCCAAGTCTCAACAACATTTTCTCCTACCCAGGGTAAAAAATCAAATCAAAACACAGTAATGGACAGACAGACCAGGATGGCATCTATATCCGAGGGAGAAGGTGGGAGGAACATTCGCCCACATGACCTCTTGCAGAGGTTTTGGAGATCCATCATCTCACCCCATCCAGCAAGGCTGTTGGGATCTTGGCTGACATTATGGGAGAGGCACTCCAGCATGTCTGGAGAACACCAAGTTGGGGAAGTCCTCAAAATTCCTACTAAGTTAAGGAAGTCCACCTGAATGGCCCTTAAACCTGTCACTCTTTCTCAGAGGAACCCACCTCACCAGCTGTGCTAAAATGAGGGAGTAGAAAGGGCATGTTCTTTTAGATGATCAGTGGGAGTGGTTGAATCTGTTCAGAATTCAGCTAGAAATGCATCTTAGAGTTTTCTGAGATCCCTAAGTTGTTAACCCCAAAGACAGGAGGAACTTAGAAGATCCTACAAGTGTTTTTCAGCAAATATTTGGTTGACTGGGCAGAGAATTAGACTTTATTCCGGATTAGAATATTAATTCTGAAAAGCCTTTCAGTGATGACAGGCTGGTCCACACATGACAGAGGCTCGATTCAAGCCCGTCCACAAGCATCCCCCCCCCCAAGACCCTCAGGGACAGTCCAACTCAGCACCTGACAAGATAACCCCGTGCCCGGGCTTGAAATAGGATTATCTTGCAGCGTAAGGCATAAAAGCGTTTCTTGATCAAAAAGCCACGGACGTAACGTTGGAGGGTCACCACTGCCATGTGGACAATCTGTTCCCGCTTGGCCTCCAGATGCTGGTAGATGTTTTCCTTCATGAAGAGCTAGAGGAGGAAGAGGAAGGATAGGTGAAGGAGAGGCAAAATATGGGGATTCAGGTAATGTCAAGTTGTTCCTATGGCTACATGACCATTTCATAGTGACCAGTAGAACAGCTGGTGATGGAGAAGACCTGCCATGGGAGAACCTGAACAGCCGCTCTTCATGTCCAGATCCATTTAGACACACTGTGAGCAGAATCAGTTGAGAAGAATCCACCAAGCCCTTCTCTAAAGATCAGGGACCCCGTCGTGCAGCGTCCCTCTACTATTTGTTCTATAACTTCTTGTATTTAAGTTATCATCAACAATTGCGGTTTTACCTTGGTAGTACCAATGCGGTACATCTCTGGAGTGACTGGGCACAGTTTCTTCAGCACCCCGACAGAATTCCACCCATCCGGGATGATGTCAGTACGGATGTCCACCAGACAACGGTACCTGAGGAGACACGGATTGGACTGGGATGAAGTGCTAAGCCATCATATGGTGGACTTGCTTTTCCCATGCTGCAATGTTGGCATGACACCTGAGCCTCGTGGTCTACAAAGATTCCTCAGCTCTGGCCCTTGGATCTAGGGCCCCGGAGCTCTTATAGCTTTGGACCAAGGATCTCAGAGGGCTTGTCTGCACCTGTCAATGAAGATCTGGAATGGGATCCGGACAGGAAAGCCCTCCTTGCGGATTCGGATGGTCTCCAGGATTCCCGAGGATCGTAGCTGGTTGCTGACTGTATCAGCCTGAAACAGTCCTGGTTCCTGGGGGGGGGGAGGAGGAGGAGGAGGAGGAGTTGTTGAACAAGTAATAATCTACTTATTGCTGTGCATCCAAAAGAGACAGTTGAGTTAAAATGCAATTGATGGGCAGGATGGAGAAGGACATATACATTATCCTCAAACGAATAGGGATAGGAACTGCCTGATCTGGGAAAAACAGGACCAGGAGAGAGATAGCATGGAGTCCTCCCTACCTTCTTACTGTTGGGCTTGAGGCAGCGAACGAAGAAAGGGTTACATCTGCAGAGAGAGAAAGAGATAAATGGCTGAGCAAAATTGCTTTGAGGATAAAGCAAAACAAACCCCTTGAAAAAGAAACCAAATGTGCCAGAGCTTTCTATTGGGAAAGCAAGGGAAATTGAAAAATAGAATAACAGAGCTGGAAGGGACCTTGGAGGTCTTCTAGACCTACCCCCTTCTCAAGCAGGAGACCCTATAGCATTTCAGACAAGAGGCTGTCCAGTCTCTTCTTGAAAAGCTCCAGGGATGGAGCACAGCCTCTGAAGGTGAGGTCTTGTGTCCACATTGCATCTATTAATTGACATTAAGACTGGAGTCCTGTTTCAAATACCTCTCCATCTTCTCCACCAGGTCCAGAAGTGACTGCTGGAACTTTGCAGCCACCGTTTGGGGCTTGTACTTCCGTTTGCTGGTGCTGTTTTTTCCCATCATGGTCCTCTGCTGAGCCACCAACTGAGCGTGGCTGAAGAAGAGGCTGGCGACCATCTAAGCCGAGAGCAGAGCAGATAAGGAGGAAGAAATGGCTCCATCACTGCTCATTCCTTCATGCCCACCGGGATCCCAGCCTCTTCCAAGAAGCTTGTAGGTGAATATCTCCCCTCCCCTATTTATTTTATTCTTCAGGGATTTGGGGAGGTGGGCTGAACTGGGAAAGAAGGATTAAGCCAAGATCCTTTAATAATCTAGAAGGAATTTGCTAGGTTGCTGGACAAATCAGAATCACCATCATGTTCATCACATTTAGGCAAACCAGGATTAATAATAAGGGTGGATTTATTGCTCTGCAATTATTAATAGTTTATGTTAGACTATAAGCTGCTTTATGTGTCTTATAAACCTCTCCCCACGCATATTTATTTCTTTGTTTCTAATGACATGTCACTCCTTCTCCCTTTTCCAAACATTGCAAGGTAAACATTTAAACTTGTGCAAACTGGAAGAATCGGGGCCAACTGAGAGGTCAGTTTAAGCACCTACTTTGATTTTACTGTTGACAAAAAGATCGAGGACATCCTGGCGAACTTGGTCGTAGTTTTTATCCAAGAATTTGTGCACCTAGGAGCAAGCAGGAAGAGAAAGTGAGTCACCATCAAGAATTTCAGTAGCCGACGTCCCAAGTTCTCTCGGTGGCACCCGGCTTGAGAAGGCTGAACAAACCATGGCTCATTTCTCAGCTGGATGTTGCCCATGAATGTTGGCTTCCAGCTCCATTTTCCTTAGGCTGCTATGATGGAACATATTGTGCAGGATGACAGTTCAGCCCGGATGGCAGACAGAAAGCTGAGTGCTCAGCCTCTTAGCTTGTAATGGAAACAGCTGATGGCACCAAAACTGGTTGCTGAGATTTCACAAATCAAGATTCTCCTCCCAAACCTTCCTGGACACGTGATGGTGCAGATATGTCGTCGTTGCCCTCCTCCTCCTCCTCCTCCTCCTCCTCCTCCTCCTCCTCCTCCTCCTCCTCCTCCTCCTCCTCCTCCTCCTCCTCCTCCTCCTCCTCCCTCCTCACCTGGTAGGTTACTTTTCCTGCATAGTGCTTGATAGAGAATTCGGGCACTGGCATTTTTGGCTTGGAATAGAGGGGATTGCAGCCATGATGATAGTGGCATTTCTGAAGGAATGTGTGATCCGTAGCCTAGAAAGATGGAGCCACAATCATAAATCACCCCCAAGACATTCGGACTGACTTATCTCCAAGCTCAGAAGGAACACCCTCCTCATAAGGAGAAGACCTTTCCCCTGCTCAGGACTTATGACGAAGTTTTGGGAGGCAAATACTATTTAGGGGATCTATGAGCAAAGTCCTTCTGAAGCTGGGTAGAAGGCTTCCCAGAGGCAGGAAGCCTTTCTTTCAATTAATTCCCGAATTCCGCCTTGCACCAAGCCAGTGGAGGCCACATCACCTGAGGGAAACTGCTTTGGTCATTCAGGATCTTCAAAATGCCGTGAGGCCTTTGGGAAATCAGCTCAATGCAGGGCTGGTTGTCTGTGAAAGCAATCTCTCTCCATTCAATCTGCTCACGGATATATTCTTCCTGAGGACAACACAGCAGCCGCAGTGAGCCCCTGCTGTCCATAACCACAGCAGCAGATGCATCATTGATTAAAAACAAAAAAACAAAAAGCTGCTGCCGCTTTGCTAAATAACCTTCATGAAAAGCAGGATCAAGAAACGGCCTCAACCGGAATGCAGGTCCAGCTGGCCAAGTCTGATTCACCTCCAAAGCAGAATCTTTCCCATGAAGGGTGTTTCCCGAAGTTCTAAGAACTTTGGGGATGGCCGTCCCTTCAAAGGCTTCAGTTACTTCTTGACCATAAACAGTGAGGATCTATTTCAAAAACTGTATTGCTGTTTGCACTCTGCTGTGTGGGACATTTTCCAAGGGGGTCACCTGGCTTCTCACCTAAAGCAGAGAGCCACCAAATAAAATGCCAGCTCTGTTTTAGATTCCTTTGCACAAAGCTGGTGGTAAATCTGATTCAACCAGCAGCCTTTAAAATCTCAAGGGCTTTGGCTCCTCCTGGTCTTACCTGTTCTTCCTTAAAGACAATCTTGTTAAAGAAATATTGGAGATATTCATTGGCATAATTAATACACAGCTGCTCAAAACTGTTGAAACCAAGATCCTATGGGAAAAAGCAAAGAGGGAGGGAGAAAAAGGAATTGAGAAGCTTCAGTCATCCAACCTGGATCGTTTTTGCTGTTTTTAGAATTTGGTTGCGTGCTTTTTATTCGGTCCCAAAAGCTCTAAGGCAGGGGTAGGCAACCTTGGCTCTTTTATGACTGGAGGACTTCAACTTCCAGAATTCCTGAGCCAGCCATGATGAGGGGAAAGGGAGAGGATTCCAAGCTGAGCCATGCTGGCTCAGGAATTTTGGGAGTTGAAGACCACGAGTCATAAAAGATCCAAGGTTGCCTATCCCTGCTCTAAGGAGTCAGTCTTCAGCAGTCATATACCGAATAAATTAACCCAGCAAGCAACGTGTTTCATCAGATCAGATATTAGATGCAAGGAACCATGAACAAAAATAGACTGGTCCTTAAGCAGAATTGTTGACCTTCATTAGCAAGCTGGAATGATCTAAGAAAAGGGCCCAAACTTGCAAAGACGTTGCAAGAAAAGAGGACAATCCAGGAATTTTCTAGAAGTCCAGCTTGAGGCTCAGTGGCAGAAGGCGCCTAACCCTGAACTACGGCCTCTGTAAATCGGAAGAGGAAGGTTCCAAATGATCTCCTGGTTGCGTTCTCTTTCTGTCTCTTTCCTCGAGGTGCAGGACAGAGCGCCCCAAGGTGTCTCTTTAGCCTAACTCTCTCTTCCTCACCTCAAACCCATAGATATCCAAGATGGCAACTGAAAGGGTGTTTTGCTTGGGGCACATCTGCTTGTTGAGCCTGTCCATGAGCCAGTTGAAGAGCAGCGAGTAAAGGATCTTGGCAATGGCATCTCTGAGAAGAGAGGATTAAAGGAAGACCACCCACAAGGCAGAACATCAGAACTGGAAGGACCCATGCAGGCCACTGATGTTGTTGTAAGCATGGTGGTCTCCAATCTAGGGCGCCAAGCTGGGCCTCATACCTCCCTTTCCCCTTCCTCCATTCTCTCTTTACCTGGCATCCACAGCACTTTCCACAGTGAGTGGTATGAAAATCTTCTCCCTCATCGTTTCCTATCAAAAAGCAAAGGAAGAAGCAAGATGGCGGTCTTCCCTTCCCAACACCCACCAGCACTCTAAAATGTTTTCACAGCGGTATCATTGGATGGGACTTTTGGAGTTTTCTTACTGTGGAATAGTTACCAAAGGATATCTTCATGTCCAAAGAGAGGGCCTTTAGTGCTAGTAGTCATAAGAGTCTCATGACTGTGAGTTACAAAGGTTGGAAATGGGAACTGGAGCTTTGGGGTGGGCAGAAAAGAGTCCCTGGCTAATTACGGGACCTTCCAAACTTCCCCATTTGCTCAAAAAGTGGGACTTCAACTCAGGGGTTGTGGTGAGCAGTTTCTCCATCCATTGATGGCAAGACCTGACCTTCTCAACAGACTCCAGTCCTCCTTGCTATGGACCATCTCAAAGCTTGTTCCAACTTCCTGTGCTGACTCCACTTGCTCCCTTTTGGTTCTGAAAGTGTTGTTTCTTGCAAACAACACTTGGGGGAAAACAAAACACCAGAACTACCCAAGATGTTGTAAATGAGTTATGGACTCAGTGTGGATCTCATTACAGACTGAGGACAGCATCTGCTTTTTTTTTTGGTACGTGTGTGCATGTCTAGATTTTCACTCCCTCACCGTCACTTTATAGGTGATAGACTTTTGCAAGCCTTCAGGAGAGATCTGCAACAGCTCCGCCACGACCCGGATCTCCTTGGCGCTCAGCACTGAGGCCACTTCCTGGCAGTCGGTCTGCAAGCACCCAAATCAAGCTCAAACAGCTTTCCTTGGAATAAGGAATCCTCTCCCCGACATCCAATGTTGCCTCCTACCTCATACTTTTCAAAATAGACATTCCCCAGGTGAAGGATGGAAGACAAGATTCGGAAGATGCTGTCCTGGTCTTGGAGGCTGAAATTCAAGACCTCCATGGTGTCAAGCAGCCGATGAAAATCTTCTAGGTCCGTTTTGCCAGGAATCTCACAGTTGCCTCCCTGGGGAAGACAGCAGGAAAACATTTGACTCCCAACAGTCTGTGCCTAGTGCCTTTAATGGCAGGAGAATCCAGAACAAATATCTTCTTGTCCAATGGAGCCATCATCTTCTTCTGCTTAAGTGTCCTGAGACAATTGGCAGGAGGTGACCAATACTGACTTTTCCCAGAAAATAAGGATTAGTTGGCCCAACCTAGATCAAGGCCCACTTTTTTTTAGTTCACTCCTTTCTCCTGGATTTTAAGAATTCACCCCTCTTTTTTCCTTTTCCATTTCATCTCATGAGAAGTCTCTGAGAAAGTAATTTTTTTTTTAGAACCTGATCCAAGCCACTTTGGGGACCTTTTACGTATCTGAGAAATTGAAGAAACAGAAATTGAAAGTCAAAGGCATCATCATGAAGAAATAACTACGAGGAGTTCTCACTCAGCTCCATACCTGGTTGAGATAATAGTAGGTTTCTGCCCCTTGAAGACAAAACATCTGCTTTTGCTGTGTGGGGAGACCAGCTAGCATCTCGTAAAAGATATGGTAGTTTCGTTCATTTTTGGCCTAGGGAAAGAGTCAGACAAGACTGATGGATGTGAAGAATAATTATGAGTCAGAAACCAAGATATTTTAATCTCCATGTGCAAAAATCCAGAATGGCTAGCAATGAAAGTAAGGAAAAAATAGATTAAAAAATACACAGGCTTACACTTGACTTGATATTTCTAAGCACTCTTGGAGAATTCTTTTAAAAGGAATCATTTATTGAGAGGGCTCAGCTCATAATGCTAGAGGGATCGTTACCATTTTCCTTATTGCCAGAAAAAAATCCATCTGTTATTTAATACATGTTCAACTGTTGTCCAAATCTAATCCATCTCTCATTCCTTCCATAGACAATCATCCTAGTTTGGACAAATGTGTGCAACCAACAGTACCATTCAGTTAATTTTTAAGGATCAAAGTAACCAGCTTCATCAGAAACGATATAAGGTCTCCTGCTTGGTGTTGGACTAGATGTTCTACAAGGTCCCTTCCACCTCTGTTATTCTATTATTCTATTCTATTGTCAGCTTAATCCAATGCAATATTTGTAACATGTTCAAGCTGGAGAGAGGCCCTTTCCACACCAGCTCCCTGCAAATGCTAACCTTCATTTTCTTCCAAAGGTTTCATTTGTGATTCTTAAAAAGGAACAGGGCAATCCTCTGTTTTGCAGTTCTCACCTGCTTTGCTAGAGTCGCTATGTCAACCCAAGAATGGAAGAAAACCTCACCTGAAAGATGACTCTGGATTTCTCCAGAAGGTACTGGGAGGTGATGGCACCACAGATCAGTCCATTGCTGGAGAAACACAACAGCTCAAGTCAGTCACATTTTCAGTGCCGTTGTTAACTTCAAACAGTCTCTAAACAAATGACTGTGAGTTGAGGATTATCCATATTATGCAGGGCCCCTGAAGGCAGGATTGTGTGGGAAGAAACAGAGAGGCTGTAAGGCGGGGTGGGGGGTGGGATATGGTGGGAAGATCCAGGCATTGGTTTACTTACTCCTCCAGGAAGAGTTCCACAAATTTTCCAAATCGGCTGGAGTTGTCATTCCGCACAGTCTTGGCATTTCCAAATGATTCCAGAAGAGGGGTCGCTTCGAGAATCTGACTCAGGCAGATAAAATACAAGAGCAATACATATCTAAAGGTCAAAGCACTAAGGAAGGCGTGGATATATATGAAAACCTCCAGACCCACAGGCAGATGAATGCAGGAGCAATTCAGATGAAATCAAATCAAACCAAACCATTCCTTCAATTCACTTTATCCTTCCCGTTCCTGGGCCGAGGCAGTTGAATGATTTGGTTCTTCCTGTTGCTTTTGAGGATGCATTTTTATTTAGCAAGAGAGCCCGATTGTGTGTTTTTTTTTTTTAAAAAAGAGGAGCAAATCCCTAATGAGAAATAAATTCCTCAGTCCTCTTCTCCTATAAAAAGGGCAAACCTTGCCAAAGGGCAATTAAGGAGCAATTGTTGCAAATCCCCATTGGAAGCAATAAAATGGAAAGGACCTATGAATAGGATCAATTAGAGGCACGTAATGTCTGTAAACCTCTTCAACATCTCTGATTGTTACATCAGCCTGATTTTTATTTAATTGCCAAAAACCAGCCTGCCAAAGCACCAGAGGGAAATGTAGAAAAACCCCTGAATGCCCCATAAAAAACAGGGCAGAGAGAAGAGAGAGAGAGAGAGAGAGAGAGAGAGGGACCAGCGGTGTGAAAGTGAATAAATCAGAATATTTATTTTCTGTAGCTTTACCTCTGAGCAACAACTGAATTTGGGGCCCCGAGATCCTTTCCTGCATTTCACCAAATCATGTAGGAGAGGCTGGAGCTGAGGCTTAACCCCTTCAATTTGGAGGAAGTTGCCATCCTGGTTCATTAAATCAACTGCTAAGGAATGGCGATGGACTACTAAGTACTCAGAGGGAAGCCCTCATTCTTGTAGGAAAACGAGAGAGAGACAAACTAATCCCTAGACAGTTGAGTCCATGCAAATAGCACTGCATTAACCGATGCTGGAAAAATTAAAACCTGATGAAGAGCATGCAACCGCCCCCTACCTTTATCTAGGGAAGCATCAAGAACAGCATGGTGACAGAAAGTGGGAAGCAATAGCAGGTCTTCAAAAGCTAAGGGCTCTTCCCCCTCCAACCACCCATCCATTGAGGTGAGCACCAGAGCTTTGGCTGAGCCTCCTGGCCTCTGGCCCCCCTTCTGTCCTACCTGCTGGGTCGCAAGGTGTTTCTGGTTGATGGCTGCCAGGTAACGAAGAATCAGTTTGGTGGCCTCGGTTTTGCCCGATCCACTTTCTCCACTGGAAGCAACCAGACGGAAGGAATGTAAGGACAGCAAGGACACCTGAGCCCACCTGAAACATCTCAACAGCTTAAGGAACCGAACTTGAAAAAAGACAAGGGGGGGGGATTCTCTTTCTCTTTTTAGCCAGTTTGTCAGAGCTCACCTAATAATGATACATTGGTTGAGTTTGGCATCTCTCAACTTGCTGCAGGCAACGTTAGTAATTGCAAAAAGGTGCCTGCAGAGGAAAGGAAGGAAGGAAGGAAGTTTCAAGCTGTCTTTAAAACAGGGAGCAGGTTGCTCTCAAGTCAAACTGGTGTCTTTCTAGCTAGCATCCCCACAAGTGACATTTTATAGAAACATATGGAAGGAACCACATATAGAAACCCCAGCACGGGTAGTTCTACCTAGTTGCAATCTTAGACAATCGCTGCCAATTAAAGTAAAAATATATGAGGGAAGACCATTCATTAATGCTTTCCAGCTGTTTTGGATTCCCAGCCCTAACCGATAAAAGCAGAGAACCAGAATGATAGGAATTGTAGTTGCAAATCCCCTGAAAGACACTAGTTGGTTGGTTGAGAGAGATATTATTCATCCAAACCTCTGAGATTTCAACAAGCACACAGTCAGCCTTTCCAGAGCCACAGAAGATCATAAGAACATCCTCATGGCCACTAGGAGTCAGAATTTGCTGTCAAAAGAGTCCAGTGTAATGAAACTGTCCCCATTTCTGTAGGACTGGTTGAAACACCCTCCGGATCAGCCCTGCAGCCAGTGACAGACTCACGGTGGGTTCTCTCCCAAAGCTTTGCCTTCATACTTCAGGACGTGGTCTGTTCCGTAAATGTTGAACATTTTGTAAGGATTCACTGACACCAGGATGCTACCTATGTAGGTCTGGCAGAGAGAAAGAGGAACAAGTTGTGTATGGGTGTGTAAGAAAGCGAGAGAGACAGACAGACAGAGAACACATGTTAGGGAAAGCAAAACCCACAAAATTATGGAGAACTTAGTGCTCTGTGTGAATCCAAACACAATGACTTCATGCTCTATACCTAAGAATAAACTCCTGGTTTAGTCTGACTTAGACAATTCCTACGCTGATGAACAGACATTGAAAAAGATAAGGTGAGAACTTACAAAAAGCAAGCAACATTTCAAAACCTTCCAGAACTTTTCAATTTAACATCTATATTTTGTTTAAGCTTGCATTTATTAGTAACAGAGAGTAAGAAAGAGGATCTTGTCAAAAGACAAACATATTTTGCATATATCTGTCTAGAGTTGCCTCTGGCAAGATGAATGGTATATGTTTAATAAATAAAAATAATAATAAATAAATCTCTGTCAATGTCATCTCTCTTACTTTCCACATAACGCAAAAATGAACATTTGAGTCTTTTTTTTCTTGCAGAAAAAAAGACCACTGTTCACGTGCCAAATTCTCTAACTCCAGTTTGATCACCGTCCTTACAAGGCTGCAAGGAAGACCAAGTTTGGTCCTCCCAGGATATCTTGTGGCTTAGCTGGGGTTTGAAGCCAAACCCTTCCCATCACTCCAGATATTTTTTTCCAATACCCAGGAAGCAAATGTGAAAATGATCAACTTACATAGATCAGTCCCCGCTCAAACCTCCTTTGGATGTTTTGCAGGACCACACTTTCTTGAAGGTCTCTGTGGCAGAGAGAACAAACATGGCTGAACATAGGACAACTTTAAGAAACGGGAAATAAATATTGCCATCAGCAGTTCCAGGGAGAAAACCTGATAAAGGCACGGGAGGAAATGACAGGAGAGCAAGGAAGCTTTGCTCCCTAAAGCCCGTAGGGAGCAGGGCTCTAAGCCCCCCCGCCCCCCCCGCTCAGATGAAGGAGTGGAAGATGCTCTCATAATGGTTTTCCCTCCTATTCATAAATCCCTGGTTCAGTTTTGCCCCGCCTACCCCAAAATACTACAGTAAACAGCAAAAAGAACATCCCTTAAGATGCACAGGGTACCTGTGTGTATGTGCTGCTGGGGGATTCTGGGAGTCGAAATCCACCCATTGTTAGGTTGCCAAGTTTGAGAAACATGGCTCTCCAACTTTCAGGGTGGACAGCACCCCTCGGTCTCTCCAATGAGAACCCGCCCTGCAATACTTACTCCAGTTGGGTCAAGTCATCCATACCGTCCTGGCTCGCCTCTCCTGGATTGGCTGCCGAGTGCAAATTGTGAATGCAGTGCATCTAGAAGTTGGTAGGAAGACAAAGTCAAGACAGGCCTCCAAAATATCCCTTCCCCCTCCCCTTTGTATCTCCCCAGCCACCCTGATAGGGAGGTTCAGCTAAGAGCTGGCAGCAGCTGAGCATCACTGAAGACATTTTATGGCACGGGTGAGGATCTGACTTAGGCTGAAGCCCCCTTCCATACCAGCCTGTTTTTCCTGCCCACCTTGCCATTCCTTCCACCTAGGAAAAGACGGAGGGTCTGCAGGTGGTGACCAAACAAGCCTTTTGCGCCTGCAAAGGCCACGTCTTGACAGCAAGCAAACACACCTCAACTGGATGTCATGGTGGGCTGGCTATTAAACAGTGACTCATTCCATTACGTGGGAGACAAGGAGTCAGACAGCTGCTTCTCTCTAATTAATTCTCCCCTCCAGTTCCAACTCCGCTCAATGTTCTCCCATTTGCATACTGCTCTTAGGTTACAAGGGGATATTATGCACACAACCGGCCATGTTGGGTGTCTTTGATCTAAGGCGTTGTGTAGGTCCCCCAGAGCAGAGCAGGGCAGGGGTCTCCAACCTTGGCGACTTTAAGACATGTGGACTTCAACTCCCAGAATTCCTCAGCCAGCTTTGAATGTTGAAGTCCACAAGTCTTAAAGTTGCCAAGGTTGAGGATCCCTGCTTTAGGGCATGTACAGCCCAGAACTCAGAAATTCAAGAGAAATTGAATTCAAAGGGACCTCCTCCAATTCTCACTCCCCCACCAGTTCTGCTTTCCAATCTCTTATTCCCTCTGTCCCTCTTCAACATCCAGCAGACCAGGACTCTTTCGATTACCTTGCATTGCCAGTTCTTGTTGGTCTCTTCATATTCGCTCTTGGACCCAGATGCTCCTCGCGTCAGGTACCAGAACACCCCATTCCCTCTCCCTCCTCCACGATGAACATCCTGAGCCTTAAAACTCTCTGCTGGAGGGTGCTGGAAGAGCTTCTCAGAGGTCCATTCATTTGGATACATCTCATTTATCTTCATCGTGTGATACTCAGACCATGGCTGGTTTTGTCTCCGGGACCTTCTCCAAGGAGAAGAATCCATCGGTTGGACTTGGGGCATCACCACTGCGTATCTCCCTATGCTGCCTTCCATTTCATATTCTAGAAGCTCAGGAGATCCGGGGGCAAAATCTGGTCTTCTTGGCTTGTTATACTGGCCGCAAAAGGAAGGTGGTCTGGCCAAAGGGGAGCCCTCTTCTTCCACAGTGTAGGGTCTTTTGAATGAAACTGTTCTTTGAGACAAGGGGCTGAGATTGGGCCTCCTCAAATTGCCAGGATTATCACCAGGGATGGTGCAGGACAAATGCCCACCCAAGAGCTTACGTGCCACTTTAGGAGTAGAAGACCTGGTAGGCATGGCTTCTGTCTTCTGCTTCATTGATGCAATAGCAGCTGGAGAATGCTGGGGAAATGGCTGCCTCAAAAAAGCTTCAGACTCTTCTGGGCCCAACTCTGCAAGATATGGATTCTCATCTTC